TCTAAAAATGAAGGCTGTGCATAAAAGCTTTAAATGGATTTCTGCTTAGAGATTAAACAGAAATATCTTTACTGTATTTTCTACCCCCTTATCTTGTAGTACTTTACTCTCCCTCCTCCCATCTTTCTTACTGTTTCAGTTCTCCTAGTCGTACCTCACACACTCCTCTCCTTTCCTCATCCCTACTTTATCTGCCCATAAATATACATAAATCTGTCCTGACAGGATACACACTCCCATGCATGGAAGCAAAAAAAACAAGACCTCACATATAGAGAATGCTTTAGGATCTATTTTAAACGTTACGCTTGAGATGGATTTTTTTTCCTTCACTACAGTCTCTCCTACTGTTGCACTTATCAGCTTTTCTGGTTTTACATTTATTACTGTCAGCCTGAGCGCACACACAGACTCAGATATGCGTGTGTTCGACTTCATCCATCCCTCCGCTCAGCAATATTGTCCCCCCCTCCTTCTCCAGCGGCTCATGCTTCTTTCTTCTTATCTCTGAATGAATGAGCACAGCATGGAGAGTCTAGCTGTTCCTCTGACCGTGTTTATATGTGCGCTGTGTCTTGGAGGATTCCCTAATATTTCCTGCATGTGTGTTCAGCCTCCCGTTTGAACCTGAATGCAGCTCCGGTGTGAGTCACTGATCTAGCAGTGAGCTGACTGCAGTACTTCTATTGTTCAGCGGTGCGGCTCATTTTTATGCTTTTACTCCTGTTATGCTACAAAATACAGAGTAAACATAATACACATAATCTCCATTTCCTATGTTTAAGCTAATATATAGAGCCACTTCTGTATTAGTGTACTGGTTCCCTGTTCTTATTCTATTGTTAGATTTAAAGAAATTCAAAATCTGAGGAAAAATTGAAGGCCTCTGATTAAATGATTCCTTTTGGCTTCCCTGGAAGACCAAACGGTTTTGTTTTTCTACCAATAATCCCTTATTGTTTACCTTCAGGTTAATCTAAAAATAAACTAGATCTGATGTAGTGCTTCCACTCTTAAAGGAATTTTATTTGGACCTAATTAAAAATAATCCAGATCAGACCCTACAGGGGTTGACGTTCAGGATTTTTACCACTTGCCCTTCGGGCAAGCGACTTTCACATTTCATTTGCCCAGAAACAATTTTTACTTGCCCAGTATAATGTTTGATAAATATAGTTCCTAATATTCATTTTTGTGTATATATAAATGAAACATGTTTGGTTTTTAAATGTTTTTTGGAATTCAGTATTTTTTAAGTTTCCAGGTTCCTGGTGTGTATATGCATGCGTCAGATAATGAACTCAAGCCTACATTACCGTGTTAACATGCTTTTTTTAATCCTTCCTGCACATTCTTTTCAAACTAAACTTTGCTTTAAACTGTTGTGTGCTTGAAAAAATATAAATTGTAATGTTAAAAATCTAAAAAAAAACAGGTTAAAAACTTAAGATAAATCACAAGACAGAAGTCAATGTCACAAATGAATAACTTTTATTTTAGAGCCACGGTATGTTTATACAAGATAATACTATTATTATAATGCAACTTTTCTAGAGAATCATTATACATAGTTATTTTATAAAGGGTTTCCAGTCTTACATAATTTCAGAATTCCCTGACTTTTAACTGACTCGGGATTAGTTTTCCCTGACAAAATAAATGCAGCAACAAGACAATAATTATAACATAACAGGTCACCAATTTAACATGTTTAGCTCTATAACATTTGAATTTACCACTCCAATTTTTTGCGATCATCGCACTTGGTTGGCGGGCAAATGCAATGAAATTTGTACTCTCCCAACAATAAAAACTACTTGCCCCGGGAGATCGGGCGATGGTTAACATCGAGCCCTGCCCTATATGTTGGTGTTTTATAAATAACCAATATAGCATCAAGTAATACAGAATTACATACTTTTAAGTTCATATGTCTGTCACCTTTTTTATAATTAATGCTTTTAGCTAATGAATTAAAATTTTTTGCTCCTCGTTTCTTTAAAATGTTATGACTGGGTAACCTTATTTTCACTGTAAACCATAGATGGAAAAATCGGGGGGAAACTATCTGTAATTATTTTGTGAGATATTTTTTACTGAATGACTAAAGGGTCTTTTACTTCAAACCCTTATGCATAAATGTTGGATCATAATGAGTCAGATCTTCCCCCTCACCTTTTAGTCATAGCTGCATTTATTTACCAAGCAGGAAAGAAGCAGACCTAAAACTGTGTTGTTGTTTTGTTCCTTTAGCTCCACTAACGAGGTTAAGAATCTGCTCCAATCGATGCCCAGAACCAGCGAGCCCAGAGAGGTGCTGTTTGAAGATCGGACCAGAGCCCACGCTGATCACATCGGTCAGGGCTTTGAGCGTCAGACCACAGCAGCTGTAGGGGTGCTGAAGGCCGTCTGTGCTGTGGAAAGGTAGGAGATATGGTCTGGAGGTGACACGCACTTATTGTTTACACAACTTCTTCCATGACGGATGGCGCGTCATCGCTCTGTTTTCCTCCACCCTGCTTCAATTTCAGCTCGGAGCCTCCTCGTGTAACCAAAGATGTGGTGTGTTTCCACGCTAGTGATTTCCCTTACGTCGTCCAGAGGCTGCAGTTGGACTTGTACGAACCTCCGCTGTCTCAGGTGATCATTTACACACAACCACAAGCAAATAAGCACACAGCGATTTCCCCAATATGGTAGAGAATTTAGCCCGCTGTGTTGATGTATCCACGTCAGTCAATGCTGCCCCCTGGTGGATAAGATGCTCTTTTTTTCTAGTTTAATAAGGAGACAGTAATGTTGATCAGTGCTAATAAAGGCTGAAGGTTTGGAAAGTTAATTTTCTTTATGCTTTTGAGGTAAGAGGGTTTTTTTTTCAGATGTGTTTTGTAAGAAATAAAAATCTGTGAAAGCAGAAAATAACCTCGATATTTCTGCACTGTATGCCTGGTTTTTCATATTTTATAAATACTTCTTCCTTTTAAATATTTCAGATCGCCACACTCATTTTATCATCAAATATAGATAATATTAATTAACTTATAATGGTTGTTATTCACCAAGAATTTCCTTGTTAAAGGCTGTATGTGTAAATAAACATAACACCTCACTACTGCCTGATCTGTAGCATCAAGATTTTAATAGAACTTTTATTACAACATTAAGTAGGCTCTTAATATCTCATAAGGTGTTACGTTGTGCCTTGAAAAGTGAGAAACAAAATATTTGTTCAAAATATCAGGTTTGCTTCATTACTTTTTTGGCGTTAATAATGTGAAATGTCCCTTTATTAAGTTGTTTTGTCTGATAGAACATTCATTAGCCTGTTGCTCACATCCTGTGTCTGATTATCATAGTGCGTGCAGTGGGTGGATGATGCCAAACTAAACCAGCTCCGGCGGGAAGGCATCCGCTATGCCCGCATCCGCCTTTGCCACGACGACATCTACTTCATCCCCCGCAATGTGGTCCACCAGTTCAAGACAGTGTCTGCCGTCTGCAGCTTGGCGTGGCACGTCCGCCTGCAGCAGTATCACCAAAAAGAGGAAGAGGAGGAGCAGCAGAGCGAGCTGAAAGAAGAGGAAAACGTGGCCGTGACCAAGGAGCAGGATGGAGAGAAGAGAGAGAATGAAGTGAAGGAGGAGGTGGATGTGGCAGATAAAAGGACGTTGCTCACTGAAGTAAAGGAAGAACAAGATGATCGTCCTCTGTCCGCTCAGCCCTCTCTCTCAGATGTCAGCAAAGATGAAGAGTTGGAAACCGGAAGGAAAGAGGATGAAAAACCCAGATGGGATTCTTCTCCTTCAAAAGCGAAGGCAGAGGCTCCAGCTTCTCCTTGTAAGAAGGAATCAGCATCGCCTCTTCCTCCTCCTGCTTCTCCTTCTTCTCATAAGGACATGAAATCCAAAGGCTCAGCTAAACCTCTGCCTCACCTTCACTCAGACAGCAGGACGGGGTCTTCCGGTACAAATGTCCCCCCGTTGGCTCAGAAATCCTCATGTTCTCCACCGTACTCCAAGTCTTCCACCTGTGTGTCATCCTCTCCTTCAGCAGGAACTGCCTTCACTTCTTCTCACACTTTGTCTTCTACCTCTCCTCCTTCCTCTGTTTTGCCCACCTCTTCTCCGTCTACTTCCTCTTCCTCCCTGACGAGTCCCAAGTCTGCGGCAGAAAGTCTTTTAAAAGCTCTTCCACCTTCCAACGGTTCGTCTTCCTGCCAGCTACCTGCCTCTTCCCAGTCGGACAATAAGGATTTGATCGCCCGGACGCAGGCGCAGTCAGACGTAAGGATGTCGCAGGGCCGACCTGCCGCAGACCGATGGACTCACCCGGCAACGGAAACACGGACACAAACGCCCTCCGAGTCAGAGACGAGGACTCACAGCACCGACTCTGACTCCAGGACATTCAGTGATTTGCATAAACATCTGGCGCCAGACGCCTCACGGCCAGGGGTCTACATGCAGCAATACCCATCCCCACACCTCCCTCAGATGCTTCCTCCTCCTTTTTCCCCCCTCCTGCCCCACTCCCATCTTCCTCACCAGCCTCCCATCCTCCAACAAAACCCCATCTCCAGCCATCCCCATGAGCAGCGCTCTCTGAACTCTTTCCTCAGTCAGGCGGGACCGCCACATTCGGTTCACCTGAACCACCCTTACCCGCCCCCCCAGCCCAGCCTCTCCTCACAGTCTCACTCCTACTTCCAGCCTCCCCTCATGTCCCCCTCCTCCTCTTCCTCTCAGCCCCTCACCAGCTCCCAGTCTGTCCCGCCTCATTTCTCCTACCATCACCAGTTTGCCAAAACCTTCTTCCCCCCCCAGCACTCCGGCTACCCCTCTCACCCCTTCCTCCCCCATCAGTCCTTCCTCCCACAGCCGCCCGGTTCTTACCCACTACAGCCACAGTACCAAACCCCAGGACCGATGCAGCCTCAGCTCCATTTGTCGCAGTCTTTTACTCCCCCTCAACCCCCTCCTCCCCCATCCTCCACACCGCCTCCGCCTCCTCCCCCTTTCCCACCTCCTCCCCCCTTTCCTCAGCACTCCCCTTCTATCTTCCCTCCTCCCCCAAGGCATGATGATGAGCAGAAACAGATTTTATAGTGGTATTTGTACATAGTGATGCTAAATTTAAATAACTGTAAATGTAAGAGGTTTTGTTTTGGTTGTGCTGTTGTAAAACTGTAAAAAAGAACAGAGGAGGAAGTAAAGTGTGTTATTAAGGAGCCTGGGACTAAAATACCGTGCCTTTCTGAAGCATTTATACCCTGAACTTCTCATTTTGTCACACTACAAATAATCAGCTTGAATATATTTTATTGAGGTTTTACTGGACAGTCCAACATGAAGTAGTGCAAAGGAAAATGTGTTAAAGATTTTAAAGATAAAGATATAAAAAACTAAAAAAGTGCAGCTTTTATTATTTAGCCCCTTTTAAGCTCAACTTGTTAATGTATTATAGCTGGGAGACTCTTGGAAGTATATCTGGGGGGAAAAAAAAATAAAATCAATGAAGCTGCTACCTCCACTTTGTTTCAGAGTCGTGTGCAAAATCTTTCCTCTCATTTTGTTTCCTAAAAGGTTCCATTTATCTCTCATAAGACCAAAACTCCTTGATTCGGTTGAATGCATTTCACACTTTCCTTTGCACTAAAAACTTGCTTTATTTGTGTTGGTTTGTTACAAGCTCTAGTCCAGTTAAATACTTTGAGATTTGTGTTTTTTAACTTAAGTAAATATAACAGCAAAAGCTCAGTGGGTATGAATTCTTATTCAAGGCATTGTATGATCCCAGACCCCACACTAAAGAGCCTCAGATTTTCCTGAGACTCAAATTTAAAACTCTTCTACGTTTCATTTTACTTGCAGGAAGCGAAGGGTGCATCTGTTTTAACCCCAACTGGTTCAGTTCAGGTCCCTGGTTGGCAGAACCCGCCATCAGATAGGAGGAGAAACACGTTTTATTTCAATAAGCCTTTTAGATTTTTTTTTTATAAGAATTGCAGCTCATGCTTCTACTTTGGGGGTTTATTTATTTCAGTTGTGCACTGATTAAAAAGCATTTTCTCTATTTATCAGTGCCAGTTGGTGGTGGCTGCACTTTTCTCACCGTTTTGTATTTAGAGCAATAAGGCTCTGCAATAATCCGCTGAAATAAACAGAATTCTCTATCTGTGTTTTTACTGACATTTTAAACAGACGGTGGAACACATGAAGAATGTCCAAAAGACTTTTCTAAACTTTTCAGGTGTTTCATTGGCTAAAAGGAAAGACCATGTGAAGTCTCGAGGTCGTTTTCTACCTGTTGTTCTAATATCACTTTTCGATGTCTTTGGCTGTTTAGGTGAGTTTTAGTTGAGGAGTTAGCTCAACATCAGCCAAGACTGTCTCAGGAAAACACCTCCATCTCGCTTCATTGGTTTTACTGTTACGTTGTTTTGTTTTTTTATGCAGAAAAAGTGAATTCTTAACCAAGTTATGACTGAAATGTTGCAGATAAGCTCCTTTAAACGTTTAGCCATCCAGATACCGGACAATTGTAATTCAAAGAGCAATATGCAGGAGTTCAAAACTAGGCATGGGTCGGTTAAAGTACAGCAAGGAATTAAACGGTTTGGGTTACAAAGCTGTGCTGCCCCTCCCTCACCTGTTGCTGCACGCTGCCAGTTTGTCAGCTGAGGTTGCAGGATGGAAAACATTCCCAATGAAGGGGGAAAAATACAATCTGTTAAAATGAAGAATGAAATTAAAAAATTGGCAAGTTTTAATTTTCATTTATGCTTCTCTTTTGTTTTTTATTAACTGTTTTATCTGTAATTATAAACATTGTATTTTCACAGCAGTAGGAAAATTTGCTGATTTTTGCTTCAAATAAAGAGGAAAGATTGTGTTTAAGCCGTCAGGATCTCATGCTAACCCATGCTTAGTCATGAAATACATATATTTATTTATTTCTGCTCTCAAACTGACATTTTTGATGAAGTGTTGGATCTCTGGATGACTTCAGGCTCTTCAGAGACTAATTTAAAGTGTTTGGTTTTTACATTTTTACAACAGATGGTCTACTGTTTAGAGGTTGTCTCCACAGCATTATTAATAGGTTTACCGGTCTCGTTTTGCAGCAGTGTTCAGCAAAGCTTTTATTTATCAGCCAGGGACTGAAGCGACCTGTTTGTGGCCCACATCTGTGGACCTTTTAAAGATGACAGCACCAGTGTCTTTTTCCTGTTGGCCGTCTATACTGGAGTACAGCCCACTCGCTAATGTAGCCCAAGACATTTCCCCAGTGCCTGTCCTTAACTGTGAACTCCTCAGTGCTCCACAGGCGCTCAGCGCAGGGAGTTTTGTCCTTTTATGAGTCGCAGTTGAAGTTCTCTCTAAACTACGAGAGCACTGCCTTAATTTGGTTTCCAAATCCGCTGAAAAGCCTCCAATTATCTATGTTTTAAATAAGACTCAGAAGAATGCTACGCTGTTTTCTTGAATTGGAAGAAGAAAGCCTTAGCTTTTATTCCTGCCTCAAACGACTCAGTTTTAAGGACTCTACTCGCTGTGGCTCTGGGGAGATAAAGGTGATAATTAAGCACTTGATGGCAGTCGTGTGGCGCTCTGCAGCTCTTTTTGTGCTTTGGGTTTAGACGTTACAGACATGACAGGATTTTTTTTTATTTTATGTGAAATTGTAACAAACCCTTCGGTTGAAAACACAAGTCCTCAGGGGCCAGGACTGTTTTCACAGAGTTTATTTATATCGAGTTTTGTTTATTTTTTCATGCTAGTTGTTATTTCAACTGTCAGCAATGAAGTGTACATAAGAGTTTTTTTGTAAAGAGGTGGAAAAAAAACAACTTGTAGTGTGGTTTCTACTTTAAATATGAGCCTAGCTAATAAAAGGTTCAAAGTATGAAAACTGTATCACGGCGAATGTTTTGTCTGTTATGATTGAATGAATTCAACTGTTTGCATCTGAAAACTATTTACAGACTAAATTTAATTTCACATCCAATTAAACCTAAATGTAATCCAACTTGATTTAATTAGTTTCAGATTTATTTATCACAAAAATAAACATATTTCCAATCAAAGTTCAATGATTGCAGGAGTCTCTCCAAAGTCAAGCACAAGGCGACAGTGGAACGAAACACTCTGAATAGTAAGAAACTAGCCGAATCAACCTTAGTATGAGAAACCAGCTACTTTAACCATTTCAGAGGACAGGAAAGAGGTACCCTCTTAGGCAGGGGTCTGCAACCTGTGGCCCCTGAGCCACATGTGACTCTTTGGAGCCTTAACCATGGCTCTTAATAGTGGCAAAAAGTATATATAGGGGTAACTAATATACCATAATAACAAATACCAGTCCACGAAACTTTAGTGGTTTTTAAAATATCTGAATTGAATTTATTTTAACAACCAAATGCTATTAAAAGAACCAGACATGTTTTTAGAGCTGTTTGTTTTTTTAACTTGAAAATTTTGTTTTATTACTTTTTTATTATTTACATCAAATAATAGCCTAAGGAAGGAAATCCATGCTTTATCGATCGTTTTTCCTTATTTTAAAAGCTAAAAATACAAAGACTGGTTGACTTGTGGCAACAGATTTTTTAGAGGCCGATATTTAACAGAAATGGGTCGTGTTTTAATAAAACGTCATACATTTTGTGACTCTATTCGACTCTACGTAGCCAAGCTCGGGGTAAAATGGCTCTTAGGATTTGAAAGGTTGCAGACCCCTGCTCTATGGAAAACTAAACGTATGAAATGTAAATAGTAGCAGTAGCTTCATTAGGGATACTACCGGTAAACAGAAATACTGGACTGAGGGTAGTTTGGCAAGAACATGAGGAGTATGAGGAGCTGATGGCAGCAGCAGCTTAGTTTGGAATAAAAATCCACGTAAATACAGAAGCACTGAGTCAGGAATACTTTATTCCTGAAAAGAAGAGAAAGGGAACGCTTACGTTACATTCAGTAACCATGAATTTTTTGCATAAAATTACTCAGATTGAAGTACGACAGCTGATAAAAGGATGCATGTATGCTTTGTAATGCTGTTCTTTAGTGTTTTTTTATTAAACTGTCCTATTTATACCGATGCGCTTCCAGACTGCATCTCTGATTCAGGAAGTTGACACATTCACCTCAAACCAGATTTTTTTTTTTATGTCCATATTTGCTTTTGCGCCAGATGATCTCAGTCGACCTTTAGAGCTTTCTAACTGAAAACCTGGTTTAGAAAGATGAAACTTTGCTGGTGAAGATTCTCAGTCATCCAGGTCATAGACATTCCAAAAAAAGTTAAAAACAAACCACTAGACTTTGTTTTCCAATTTTGTAGATATTTTGCTTCCCATCCAGGATGCTTTTTCTATTCAAAATGTCTGGAGTAGTGTTGAGCTCCAGGCTTTATAGGAACATCTTCCAACTTGGAAAACAAAGTCCCGTGGTTTGTTTTTAACTTTTTTTTGGAAAGAAAAATGAAGCTACTAAGGATTTTTTTGTGTGAAGACTGAAACCGCCGTTCCATTTCAGGATATTAACCTGCTGTTAAGTCATAAATATGTTAAGAAGTGTTGTGTAATATTGTTTAAACGTTTGCATGCAGCCTGCTTAACTGCATGTCAGACAGGACAGTTTCCTTTAAAGGGCAGCCTCTCCTCTGGTGGTTCGTCTCTTCAGGCCATTTCAGACACCATCTCCCCTGCTCTGGAATATCAATAAGCCACAACAGCAAATTATCAAGTAATAGAAATGAGTCATTTATTAATTACATCACATGCATACAGACTCTATTGGTGTTTGTTTTTCTTTTTTGAGTAAAGTGCAAAAAAAAAAAATGTTGGCACAACATAAACATTTGTACAAGAACATCTAAATGGGGCTGAAACCCAGTTCACAAATAAAACTGTTTGTAGAAAGTCTTCAAGTTGGACCAACCCTGCATGCAAAGATAGAATAACAGCTTATGAGATGATATATATAGAGTAGAAAAGGGGCAATATCAGATGGATTCTAAATGACGGAATGATGCTAGGAGGTTTGCTAAAGAATGGAATGAGAAGTGTGCAGGAATCCAGCCACAGCATGTGGAAATAATCTATAACGATACATGCACCCTGAACTGCAGCCTTTCACAAACTATTTAAATATTAAATAATAATGAACATTCGAAATAAAAGTTTACTTTCTCCAGTGTTGGTTTCACAGTTTAACAAACAGTTTGACACTTTTCTCCATCATTTGACCCCCCGCTACTATAGAAAGTGTTAGGACTACAACATAAGATTGTTTCAAGCCTCTCGTCTTTCAGGAAAAATATTCACCCCCAGTTCAACCAGTGCGCCCAGCAGCATGGTCCACAGCGGGATGCAGACAAACGTCAGCTTCAAATCGGCCAGTTTCTCCAGTTTGGCGCACAGCGTCAGGCAGAAGCCCAGTTTGAGCAGCATGGCGGTCAGGTACCAGGTGCGCAGACGCAGGTCTGGCGAGCCGTTGCGCGGGTCGTACCCAGGTTTGCAGTGCCCCGCCATCTTGATGGCGAGCATGAGGATGAGGATGCCATCAAAGATCCAGACTGGAAGGAAGATGAGGAACCAGTTCCATTGCACCTGGGGAGAGGAAGAGGAGTTTATTATTAAGGTAATGAATCATTTAGAAGCAGAGGGGAAATTATACAACCCTAAAAAAATAAAGCCAGATATTAAAGAGGTGTGGGGAGCAAAATATACTGTGTTAGAATGTCCTAGTCAAAGTCTAGACCTAAATCTAAGAATCTGAGCTACAATTCAGAATATTTAAAAACTTTAAAACACATTTCTGTCTTCGTATAGCCTAAAATACCTTTAGCTGTAAAGCAGGGAGACATTATTGTCTCAGGGTCTCTATATAAATATTTAAAACTGAAATATTTTGATTAAAAACTAGGAAAAAAAAATCAATAAAGATTGTAAGAAAATGTCATACCTTCCCATCCAGTTTCAGCACCAGCATAATTAGAAACACCAGGGTAAAAACCCAGGTCAGCAGAACCCTCTGAGCCAGAGACATCTCACTGTCCGGACGGCCTCATCACTGCAGACAATCAGCTGTTAGTTTATCCATTCAGTGTAAACACGCAGCAAACCATTTATGTTACTGATGATCAGAGTAACACTGATGCTGGGATTGAAAGGACAGGGGATCAAGGTTGGCAGTAGGCTACAGTAATATAAAGCCCGATTGGTACAACATACAAAACTGATTTGATTCAAAATGAAATCGAATTAAAAGAAAATTAAAGCTTTTCGTTCATTGTAGGCAGACAATGGCTCTCAGCTAGCTTAGCTTAATGCTTATCGATTGGCTAACTTACGTTAGTGTAGTCCCAGCTCCATGTCAAGCATCTTTTAGTCTCCCTGTACATCAGAAATCGATTATCACAACAGTATTACAGCTTATCATTTACATTGTTACGGTTTTTTCCCCAATACGGGAATATTGGTTCCGTTATTTTCGAGTTTGTCCCGCCCCTCTCAGAAACCCATTGGTTCTTTCTTTTGCGTCATGCGTCGGTCGTACATGCCATAGATATAGAAGACTAGAAGCTAAACACATTAACAGAGAGCACCAGGCCGTATCTGTATCTAAACGCAACAGTTTTATTCGCATTTATATTTTACCAAATTAAATGATTAAGTCGGTTCGATTGTAACGGGAAAAGATTTCTTTTTTTTTTTATATATATATATATATAAACAAAATAGTTGAATAAATACGTGTTTTTAAAATAAAAACGTGTAATGTTGAGGTTTGGTAATTTTTATAAATCATATTTCATGAATTATTTTTTTTACCATACAACTTAATGACGATATTTATATTAATAATTTTTATTTAATTTTTGTTTTGAATACGGAAGATTCAAAATAAAAAAAAGGTCAAGTGATTTTTTTTGTATTATTATTATTGTATTTTATTTCAGTTTGCTATGGGGGAAAAGGCAGAATTCTGACTTTAATCTCAGAATTCTGACTTTAATCACAGAATTCTGACTTCAGTATCAGAATTCTAACTCAATATCAGAATTCTGACTTTTTTCCCATATCAAACTGAAATAAAATGTAAAAATTAGTTAACTTTTTTAATTTTTTCAGTGGACCCGTAAAACACTGGTAAGTTAAGACTAGTTTTGATTAATTTTGGGCTTACCGTGGTTCCTTTTTGGTTTGCAGATATCGTACATTTTTCTTAATGGTTTTCCATTAAGACCATTACGAGGGAAAACCCAATATCGGTTTGTCTGACAAAAAAAGCTTTTCTTGTTGTTTCTTAAAACAGTGAGTGCAGAAGAAATAAAAACTATATTTTCTATTTACATGATCCTTCAGAATTATTACATGTATATTTTAGTTTTTCTTTTTTGTGATAAGACCCAACTTTGCCACTCACAAAATGGCGTACGCGCATACACTATCCTTCTACTCTGCGTATCTATACGTTGGCGTCAAACCGTAAAAGTTTTTAAAAGGCGCACAGTCTGTAGCGAGTTTAAACAGCCACTAGAGGGCGGTAACGTTTTTCCCCTCCTATTGTTATCCTATTTTTAATTTTACTTACAACTATTTGAAGAAAAACAAGCATTTTTTTTTCAATTTCATTTTCATTGTTAATATCGCTTTCTATCAATCTATAGAATATTCGACTTTCTCATTCTTAGCCGTTGGTTAATTTAAAGCTTATACAAATGTTACTTCACACTCTCACGAAGCTTTACGGTAATATTCTGAAGTGGAGTTTTTAACAGTGTGCGGGTTGAAAGGAGAAAGCTAGCGTTTCAAACATCATCGAGCAGGACTCTCAGCATCTCCTCCAGACAATGGGCAAAGCACGCTACCTGTGAGCGCAATAATTTACCGTCGGATAACACAGAGTTTGGCTCGGGGACGAGGAACGAAGCTTTAAGGAGGTAAGACGGAGCTGCTGGTCGTTTGGAGATGCTATTAAGAACAGCTGTGCGGGCTTTGTGGCTGCCGCCACCGGTGGTTTAGCTAGCAGTGTAGCTCGGTTTTTTAGAAGAAGGAGCTTTTTCTGCATTTATAAACTGCTGGAAAACGTCTCTGCGTCGCAATACACGACGGTTAGCCTAAAAAAAATAGCTGCTTCACACAGAGCTACGAAGGTTACACCGTTTTAACCCTTTATAGGACACTCGGTGAAATCCTTTAAAAATCCACATTTCAAGGTAATAGTGTTATTGGAATCCAGGATAAGACCTTATTACCTTTGTAACATTTTGATGGCAAAAATGAATGTCAGTGTAATAACAAGAAACGCCTACCTGCCCGAATATATTAAGAAAAATAACAAAAATAAGTGCGCCTATAAGAAATTCATGAAAAACACTAAGAAACACATTTTTTTTGGTACAACATAACCTTAGAGGCATTAATGCTGATACTGGCACTTAGAGTTTTTTAGTTTATAAACCTAAATATATTTTTTAACTAGGGTTATTAACTTTTTAACTTTACTTTTGAACTTTTTAATTAGCCTTTTACCTTTTTTAACTTTTCAATTAGCTTTTTACCTTTTTAATTAGATTTTTACCTTTTTTCCTTGACTTTTTAATCCAAATGTTCCCTATTTCTCTTGACTTTTTAACTTCTTACCTTTTTTTCTTGACTTATTAACTTTTTACCTTTTTTTTTTTTTAACTTAATTTCCAGTAGGTAATATATCATTTAAGGGCTAATCTAATTGGTCAAAAGCCCAAATAAGATGTACAGTCATGTAGCAGTCTCTTTGCTGAAGGGCTGGATATAGATCTTGTGCTTCTAGACCTTTACTGAGGGATAGAGGGGACTCCATTTGTAAGGGCTATGCAAGTGATCAGAAATACTAACTTGGCTTATAAAGGATTACCAGTAAGTGAAAGCGGGTAAACTATCTTCACCATCCTCCTGTATTGAAATCTACCCACTGTCCCTTAAAGAAGCTTAACTGCTGTAAACTGGCTGCAGTGAGCAAACTTTAAAGGATTAAGCCAAGATAATTTTAACACATTTCCCGTGTGGTTAATCTCTGCTTTTGCTCGTTTTTTTATTTTCAGCCTGGTACAGGAGATGGATGCCTCACTGATTATAAGTATTTCTTTGTAACTCTACTTTAGTTGTTCTTTGTAAATCAAACCAAGTTAAATAAAAGACCAGTCTTCTCCTTGACTAGAGGTCAGATCATTTTTTGACCTAAAGATTAGGGCTGGGTATTTTTGCCAAAGTGCTGAATCGATTCCGTTTTGATTCATACAGTTCTAAATTGATTAATTTCAATTCAATCTGTTTTTACAATGTGTTTCAAAATACTCATGTAATTAATTTTTTCCTGCAATATTAAACACAAAGTGCAAACTTGTAAACCAGACAGTTTAAACTTGAGATGTGAACAAAACGGTCTCAAAAGTGCAAGCTTGTTTGTGAAAAGTGAAAAAGTGAAGCCTCACATGAGCGAGCAGACGTGACACAGCAGACATGCATGAGCTGCATTATCTGCACAAACCGTATGTGCAGCATTATCTGTAACAACTACAGGGTGTTTGCTGGTCAGCCCCCATTTGTTAATGTCGTCAGTCAACTTATAGGCTATATTTGCAGCTGTCTGGCTTGAAGTCATCTTGGTGGATTGTAGCTGCAAGGTGCCACTCATTATCAATGTAGTGGGAAGTCGCCTTAATGTCAAATATCCAGCACATTATCTGAAGCTGTTTTAACTCCAAAATGGTTCCAGACATCAGGCTTCAGTTGGGACAGCTTGCTGAGCCGAGTGTTACTTGAATCGGCATTTGCACATGCCTGCTCATTTGAATGTGAACGTCACGTGTCACTATAAAACTAATCAATCTCATTCCCTACACATCGATTTTGCAAAAATCTAAAGCAATTGATCCAAAATGGATTAAATCGATTTTTTTACCCAGCCCTAATAAAGAACCAGTTTTTCCATCACAAAAAGAAATGAATTTTGTTTCCAATACAAGGAAAAACTATTCACGGGGATATTCTATTTAGTAGAATTAGTGCTTTCCCTATAAATTAAATTTAATGCTTTTGTTTTTTATTTAACACAGGCACAGCAATAAAAGCAATTGCAAGTCAGATTAAGGCATTTATTATCTAAAACCGAGCATCAGAACAGGAAGGGAAGTGGGTTTAAGTGACCTATTATGTCTTGGTTGTTGATGACAAACTGCTGATTTAGAGGGATTTTCGTGCTTAGTTTAATAAATTAGGTGCAAACCTTCATTCAGATCTAACCTAAACTCAATATGTAAATATGTTTTTTGATGTCCTTGCAGATTTTATCCACAATTCCCAGTTGTACAAATCCTAATTCCTTCTGCACAGGTACACTAGTTGCATATATGCATGCATGTAGGGAGAGCAGAGTGAAGTCAGTGTAGATGTTTGAATGGTTTGCGCTGATTATTGAAGCTGTTGGGTGGTATGAAGTGGACTGCCACAAGCCTTAACAAGAAATGCAGGTGAATGCATAGAGAAATGTAAAATCTTTATTATACTGTTGCACATATTTGTTTAATACATTTAGCCAAAGCTAATTTGAGTAATTATTTAAAAAAAAGTCAGTTCCCCTGTGTCTGCTAGGCTGCACTCCCAAGTATTTCAAAAATCTATAAAGTCTGTGAAAGATTTGACTTTGTGTCGCCATCTAAAGTGAACAATGAGAGCCGGTAGCTCAAATGTTATCTGTACCTGTGAGTCTTTCTCCTCTGAATGCTGCTTTACGAGGTAGAGATCATGTTCTGTAGAGTTCAAGTCAGCAGCTTTACCAGACTTTACTACCCAACTAAAACATAAAAACCTGAAAATGCCTACAAAACGGACAACGAAGAGCAGATTGATCCAAGAAGAACTCAAGACTAACTTGTCTTAACAGAACAGAAAAATATCGCCTTTGAGATAAAGTTCAGGAGCACAAACAACGCTGAGCAGTAGGGCTTATCTTGACTTGTTGAACATATTCTCTGGTGTGATAAAACAGCATAGTGGCAGTGGGATAAAGCGGCGGTAGTATGACTGTCAGGTCTAAGCACCTAAACATCATACATACATACAGGGAAAGAAAGAAGGCACAGAGACAATTAATTTAGTTTCTTGCAAGGAGAATAGGAAGGAGACTGAGGAGTTTACAATCTCCACCCCACTCTGCAGTCTTCAGCTTTCTCCTTGCTATTTATTGAAGAAAAGTTGATATCCCTAATTACACCAGCTGAGGTTTAACTAAAGGGAAAGGGAAACAAAAGGATCTTACTTTAAACCTCAGCACATATGTTAAAACAAAGCATGTGGTTTTTTACAATTGAATTGTNTATTTTATTTCAGTTTGCTATGGGGGAAAAGGCAGAATTCTGACTTTAATCTCAGAATTCTGACTTTAATCACAGAATTCTGACTTCAGTATCAGAATTCTAACTCAATATCAGATATCTGACTTTTTTCCCATATCAAACTGAAATAAAATGTAAAAATTAGTTAACTTTTTTAATTTTTTCAGTGGACCCGTAAAACACTGGTAAGTTAAGACTAGTTTTGATTAATTTTGGGCTTACCGTGGTTCCTTTTTGGTTTGCAGATATCGTACATTTTTCTTAATGGTTTTCCATTAAGACCATTACGAGGGAAAACCCAATATCGGTTTGTCTGACAAAAAAAGCTTTTCTTGTTGTTTCTTAAAACAGTGAGTGCAGAAGAAATAAAAACTATATTTTCTATTTACATGATCCTTCAGAATTATTACATGTATATTTTAGTTTTTCTTTTTTGTGATAAGACCCAACTTTGCCACTCACAAAATGGCGTACGCGCATACACTATCCTTCTACTCTGCGTATCTATACGTTGGCGTCAAACCGTAAAAGTTTTTAAAAGGCGCACAGTCTGTAGCGAGTTTAAACAGCCACTAGAGGGCGGTAACGTTTTTCCCCTCCTATTGTTATCCTATTTTTAATTTTACTTACAACTATTTGAAGAAAAACGAGCATTTTTTTTTCAATTTCATTTTCATTGTTAATATCGCTTTCTATCAATCTATAGAATATTCGACTTTCTCATTCTTAGCCGTTGGTTAATTTAAAGCTTATACAAATGTTACTTCACACTCTCACGAAGCTTTACGGTAATATTCTGAAGTGGAGTTTTTAACAGTGTGCGGGTTGAAAGGAGAAAGCTAGCGTTTCAAACATCATCGAGCAGGACTCTCAGCATCTCCTCCAGACAATGGGCAAAGCACGCTACCTGTGAGCGCAATAATTTACCGTCGGATAACACAGAGTTTGGCTCGGGGACGAGGAACGAAGCTTTAAGGAGGTAAGACGGAGCTGCTGGTCGTTTGGAGATGCTATTAAGAACAGCTGTGCGGGCTTTGTGGCTGCCGCCACCGGTGGTTTAGCTAGCAGTGTAGCTCGGTTTTTTAGAAGAAGGAGCTTTTTCTGCATTTATAAACTGCTGGAAAACGTCTCTGCGTCGCAATACACGACGGTTAGCCTAAAAAAAATAGCTGCTTCACACAGAGCTACGAAGGTTACACCGTTTTAACCCTTTATAGGACACTCGGTGAAATCCTTTAAAAATCCACATTTCAAGGTAATAGTGTTATTGGAATCCAGGATAAGACCTTATTACCTTTGTAACATTTTGATGGCAAAAATGAATGTCAGTGTAATAACAAGAAACGCCTACCTGCCCGAATATATTAAGAAAAATAACAAAAATAAGTGCGCCTATAAGAAATTCATGAAAAACACTAAGAAACACATTTTTTTTGGTACAACATAACCTTAGAGGCATTAATGCTGATACTGGCACTTAGAGTTTTTTAGTTTATAAACCTAAATATATTTTTTAACTAGGGTTATTAACTTTTTAACTTTACTTTTGAACTTTTTAATTAGCCTTTTACCTTTTTTAACTTTTCAATTAGCTTTTTACCTTTTTAATTAGATTTTTACCTTTTTTCCTTGACTTTTTAATCCAAATGTTCCCTATTTCTCTTGACTTTTTAACTTCTTACCTTTTTTTCTTGACTTATTAACTTTTTACCTTTTTTTTTTTTTAACTTAATTTCCAGTAGGTAATATATCATTTAAGGGCTAATCTAATTGGTCAAAAGCCCAAATAAGATGTACAGTCATGTAGCAGTCTCTTTGCTGAAGGGCTGGATATAGATCTTGTGCTTCTAGACCTTTACTGAGGGATAGAGGGGACTCCATTTGTAAGGGCTATGCAAGTGATCAGAAATACTAACTTGGCTTATAAAGGATTACCAGTAAGTGAAAGCGGGTAAACTATCTTCACCATCCTCCTGTATTGAAATCTACCCACTGTCCCTTAAAGAAGCTTAACTGCTGTAAACTGGCTGCAGTGAGCAAACTTTAAAGGATTAAGCCAAGATAATTTTAACACATTTCCCGTGTGGTTAATCTCTGCTTTTGCTCGTTTTTTTATTTTCAGCCTGGTACAGGAGATGGATGCCTCACTGATTATAAGTATTTCTTTGTAACTCTACTTTAGTTGTTCTTTGTAAATCAAACCAAGTTAAATAAAAGACCAGTCTTCTCCTTGACTAGAGGTCAGATCATTTTTTGACCTAAAGATTAGGGCTGGGTATTTTTGCCAAAGTGCTGAATCGATTCCGTTTTGATTCATACAGTTCTAAATTGATTAATTTCAATTCAATCTGTTTTTACAATGTGTTTCAAAATACTCATGTAATTAATTTTTTCCTGCAATATTAAACACAAAGTGCAAACTTGTAAACCAGACAGTTTAAACTTGAGATGTGAACAAAACGGTCTCAAAAGTGCAAGCTTGTTTGTGAAAAGTGAAAAAGTGAAGCCTCACATGAGCGAGCAGACGTGACACAGCAGACATGCATGAGCTGCATTATCTGCACAAACCGTATGTGCAGCATTATCTGTAACAACTACAGGGTGTTTGCTGGTCAGCCCCCATTTGTTAATGTTGTCAGTCAACTTATAGGCTATATTTGCAGCTGTCTGGCTTGAAGTCATCTTGGTGGATTGTAGCTGCAAGGTGCCACTCATTATCAATGTAGTGGGAAGTCGCCTTAATGTCAAATATCCAGCACATTATCTGAAGCTGTTTTAACTCCAAAATGGTTCCAGACATCAGGCTTCAGTTGGGACAGCTTGCTGAGCCGAGTGTTACTTGAATCGGCATTTGCACATGCCTGCTCATTTGAATGTGAACGTCACGTGTCACTATAAAACTAATCAATCTCATTCCCTACACATCGATTTTGCAAAAATCTAAAGCAATTGATCCAAAATGGATTAAATCGATTTTTTTACCCAGCCCTAATAAAGAACCAGTTTTTCCATCACAAAAAGAAATGAATTTTGTTTCCAATACAAGGAAAAACTATTCACGGGGATATTCTATTTAGTAGAATTAGTGCTTTCCCTATAAATTAAATTTAATGCTTTTGTTTTTTATTTAACACAGGCACATCAATAAAAGCAATTGCAAGTCAGATTAAGGCATTTATTATCTAAAACCGAGCATCAGAACAGGAAGGGAAGTGGGTTTAAGTGACCTATTATGTCTTGGTTGTTGATGACAAACTGCTGATTTAGAGGGATTTTCGTGCTTAGTTTAATAAATTAGGTGCAAACCTTCATTCAGATCTAACCTAAACTCAATATGTAAATATGTTTTTTGATGTCCTTGCAGATTTTATCCACAATTCCCAGTTGTACAAATCCTAATTCCTTCTGCACAGGTACACTAGTTGCATATATGCATGCATGTAGGGAGAGCAGAGTGAAGTCAGTGTAGATGTTTGAATGGTTTGAGCTGATTATTGAAGCTGTTGGGTGGTATGAAGTGGACTGCCACAAGCCTTAACAAGAAATGGAGGTGAATGCATAGAGAAATGTAAAATCTTTATTATACTGTTGCACATATTTGTTTAATACATTTAGCCAAAGCTAATTTGAGTAATTATTTAAAAAAAAGTCAGTTCCCCTGTGTCTGCTAGGCTGCACTCCCAAGTATTTCAAAAATCTATAAAGTCTGTGAAAGATTTGACTTTGTGTCGCCATCTAAAGTGAACAATGAGAGCCGGTAGCTCAAATGTTATCTGTACCTGTGAGTCTTTCTCCTCTGAATGCTGCTTTACGAGGTAGAGATCATGTTCTGTAGAGTTCAAGTCAGCAGCTTTACCAGACTTTACTACCCAACTAAAACATAAAAACCTGAAAATGCCTACAAAACGGACAACGAAGAGCAGATTGATCCAAGAAGAACTCAAGACTAACTTGTCTTAACAGAACAGAAAAATATCGCCTTTGAGATAAAGTTCAGGAGCACAAACAACGCTGAGCAGTAGGGCTTATCTTGACTTGTTGAACATATTCTCTGGTGTGATAAAACAGCATAGTGGCAGTGGGATAAAGCGGCGGTAGTATGACTGTCAGGTCTAAGCACCTAAGACATCATACATACATACATACAGGGAAAGAAAGAAGGCACAGAGACAATTAATTTAGTTTCTTGCAAGGAGAATAGGAAGGAGACTGAGGAGTTTACAATCTCCACCCCACTATGCAGTCTTCAGCTTTCTCCTTGCTATTTATTGAAGAAAAGTTGATATCCCTAATTACACCAGCTGAGGTTTAACTAAAGGGAAAGGGAAACAAAAGGATCTTACTTTAAACCTCCGCACATATGTTAAAACAAAGCATGTGGTTTTTTACAATTGAATTGTTCCAAGAACACATGTTTAGAAGAAACATGTGATAGAGGCTGTTCAGGTCTCTTTTACAACCCAGCATGTGATAGACGATGTTCAGGCCTCCTTCACAACCCGTCAGTTGCAATACCTTTATCTGGAACTATCTTAAGCAAGAGTTAATAAAAGATAAATCACACATTATACATCATAATAGTTCATTAGAACACAACCCATGAAACACAAACGGAGTATAAATAAAATATTTCTGCTGCTTGTGCTTCAGGACCACAATGACGTTATATATTTGATAAAGCCATAAATTATGTGGTAGTGGAAACACAGATGAGCTCAGCTAAAGCTTTATTTAGGCTAAATTTTGGCTTGGTTAGAAGAGTTAGTTTTATATTTAAAATCTGTAGTCATTTAGTTTGTTTTGCATATAAAAGTGTTGCAGGTTTGCAATTTGTCATTAAAAAAGTGAATGGGAGTCGATCACAGCTATTCAAGCCATGACTGCAGGAGAAAAGATCAGCTGCAGGATAATCTGCTGTTGGTAGTAGTTTGAATTCTGGCCAAGAATGTCATTTTTTTTTGTCTTCATCATGCAGTAATTAGTTTAGACATGCACAGAAGTATTGCTTCATGGGACTAGCGTGCTTTGGATTGCTTCTTCAACAGCACTTCATGAAAACTGTTTTTAGAAGTGGAGGAGCATAACTGCAACAATGCAAAAACAAGTGTCTGATTTACATAGGAACATTTCAGATGAATATTTGTGGCCTCCGTCCATTTGCACTTGTTTTAAATTTATTCAAGGGAACCTTTCACGTTAATAAATAAAACAGATCCTAACACCTGTTTACTCAAATCTTTTTGTGCTGACTTATATTATAAGCATTATATTTGTGTTATACCCATTCTTTTCAGTTCTGTTTGCTTAAATAAAAGTTTTTTTGTAACGTACCAGTAGTGGCTGAACCGTTCAGTTAAAGATGACACAGATTAGATCTGAAAGTCTTTTTTTTTTCTGGTACAAAAACAACAGGGGATGTAATCAGCTGCAGGTCGATCCATTGTTGCAGCTGTCGGGTTTGGCAGTTTTCAAACACGTTCTGTGACAAATGCAGTAATTTAGGTAACATGGGTGAGTCTACATCTTTCAGTGGAAACATCTGAGGCTGTATCCTGCAGTAGTTCCTGTCTATCAGCATAGCTGTGCAGCAGTTTGTCAGAGTGCACACAGATCAGTCAGTGAATTATTGTGCCTTATTGTTCCCCTGATTGAATTATCCGATTTTTATGTGCATGTGCTGCATTTTAACACAGCCACTGTCCTGCATCCTTTCTTCCCCACCCCCTTTCTATGAAGACTTCTCAAATAATCATTTGTGTTCAGCATGTGTCTGCCTGCAGAGCAGGTTACATCATCAGCTGCAGTAAAGTTACATCACACATAAGGCTTCTGTATCATTTAATGTTGCAGCAATAAGACAAAGGCCTGCAGGGCACAGCTGGCAATTTAAAGACATGAAAAACATTCTGAGTAGTGAGAATTGATTTAGCTGCTCAGTAGAGGAGCTGGTTTTGTTAGGTTGTGTTGTTAAAAGGAACCACACAGATCTGAGAAAGTTTGTTCTATTTACTGTGGTCAGACGCTTCCTTTGATTAAAAAAATAAAATGAAATAAAAGTAATCTCGACCCGGCTAACCCCAAATTGGTTTGTCCTACACTGGTGACTTTAAAAGGATACGGTATGTGATGCAACAACTTTTGTACAGATAAATCTCATGTTTTAGAACAAAAGATCGCAAGTTTTTTATGATTTAAAGCTGCTGCAAAAGATGTCGCTGAACATGCAACAACTTTGAACATTTTGGGAAGCTTAAAGCACCATGTTTTATATTTCAGCTTATGATGCATTATTTTTGTCAAGGATATCGTAATAATGGCGTTGAATGAAGAGGTAGAAAGTAATCAGTTTACTCCATGGTAAGCTGTAATTTTTTTTTTTTTCAAAACTACACTTTAGTCCCCCATGACAACAAAGGTCCTCGTGGAAACACGCTGTTATGGCGCATTAAGGAGAGCAGACGACTTTTATATATGCTAGTTTTGCCGAACATATTAACATTTTAACTCTGAAAGTTTTAGATCGTTGTGGAATAATAATTAAAGTAGTTTATTTTAACTCTATAGTTCTATTTCTTTTTCTTGGTCTTGAATCACATTTTGGTAGCCTGATACACCAGAATAAATGTGTAATTTAGTCTGGCCCCAATCTAATCCTTCAAAAACGGATTCCAAAGCTGAGTCAAATGAGGACTATTCAATAGTTGTTGCCATCTTCCTTGTTGTGCTTTCTCCAGCGTCGTGCAGCTTTGTCGTCATGCCCTCAAAACCCCGCCCACTTTGCATCCTAAAATTCAAAACACATCTCTGCGATGTGATTGGCCCGCCAGTTCTAGGGCCTGGGGCATTGATCGAGACTAGACCACTCGCAGGCAAAAATGATTTTGGCCGCTGGCGGGTGTTTTGGTGATTATGATAATTTGAGTTGGACTATAGTTACTTTGCATATCATGTGTATGTCCATGTTCAGCTTTTCTTTTAAATATCTGATATTTGCCAATAGATCAGATATGTTTTATTTTTTAAAGCCCCCATTATCGATATTATCGGCCTTAAAAAATCCAATATCAGTCTCAAATATCTTCAACTTTGTGCTTTAAATTTACAAAGTATTTCTTATTTGTTACTTAGATTCAATCCTAAATGTGTATAGGGAATCCTGCTTTTAATTTCCCACCAGTGGTAACATTCGGTCATAGTTTCTTTGTATTATTGTTCCTCACACTTTAATATGAAATCTATTTCAGAGTTAATGTACGAACCACTGAGTTTAAACCAGAGATTAAACATTGCATCAAGTCAATGAATTCTAAACAGTTAGTTTTCCGCCTGACAGTTTATATTAGCTGCAGGGATGGAGTAAACATAGAAGCTGTGGAAAGAAGCAGCTGATATAGCTTCACTCTTTGGGGAAGTGATGGCCTAGTAGCTAGAGCAGTGCGCTTGTGGTCTTAGAAGGTTGCAAGTACCCGGTTCGATCCTCACAGACAGCCACTCTGGGTCCCTGAGCAAGTCCCTTTAGCCCACACTGCTCCCTGGAAGCCACAAAAGGGGAGGGGTTTAATGGAGAGAGTGAATTTCCCCATTGTGGGACAATAAATGGATTTGAATCTGTCTGAAATTTCTAATCTGGAAAGATCTGACTAGAGGGGAAAATAAAACAAACCCTAAAGCTTTTCTTAACTTTTGCATGATGCAGAATCGCGTTTGAATTTTTAAGAGGGGAAAAAGGTTGATATATCGAGAGTAACATCCGTTTCAACCAATGTCATTTTTAAACATATCGCTTTTAGCTCGATTAGTAGAACTTGGCTGATGTTAACAAATATTATTTCCGTTAAGTTGCTGTTTTTGTTTGAGAAGGAAAGGGTGATCGGCCATGTTTGTTCTGTTATGTGACAGTAGCAAAGGATTCTGGGTGTTTAACTGAAGCAGAGAAGCGCTGTCAGCAATGTTAGGTTTTTCATGGTGTTGTTTAGATTGGTGCATCCCTATCAAAGGATTATGTTACGGGAAAAAAAATGCTAATATAGCAAAATGTGCAGGAAAAAGACTCCCCAGGATGCTTTGTACATCGAGGTGTAAATTTGTTTGAAACAGAGGAAACGATGTGATAGTTGACATATTTACTACTAATGCTGTTTTAAATCTCATTCTAAATGTAATTTTCTCTTTTTCTTTTGTTTCCTAAAGCTGCAGCTCTTCTGCTGTGAGGACAAACCACCACTCCGCTCCAAAGCCACACCAGAGGTCAGCCCATGTCTCACTACTCCTCACACTCTTGTTTGTTTTCTTGCTGCTATGTGTTGAACTGCATCATCTGTTGCTACGTGTTGCCTATTTGCATGGATATGTACACAGAGCCGTTCTGCTTACACATCAACAGCACTTCATGAAAACTGGGCCCTTAGTCTGTAAGAGAGACAGATGGAGAAATAAGAGACTGCGAATTTAGAAAACAGACTTCCTGTTTTGGGAGCACGCACAAGGAGCGAAGACAGATCTCTTTTTTTAGCATGTGTGTGTAGACAAGACTGTGGATCTGGCCTACAGTCAGCAGCAGCAAAGCTTTTTTTTTTTTAAAGTTTCAGTTCATCTGCGGTTACTTGGTTCCTGCCCGGCAAACTGCAGCAGTCAGTTTTTTTTGTTTCTAGTTTTACATGACCTTTTTTACACAGCTAGCAGCTTTGCATTCTCCTCTGACTATATTATTGTTTACGATATCTGCAGCAGGGTCAGTCCAGGCCTCTTTGCAAACAATGTTCTGATGCAGCAGGCACACATCAGTTTCTTACAGTTATCTACATTTAATTATTTAGTCTTTTGACCTTTAATCGCTTTCTGGGCTGCAGTCTTGGATTTCCTGTTGGCAGCTCACATACAAACACACGTTCACACATGTGCTCCACCTAGTTAAGACGGAAAGAAATAACCTAGCGTTAAGCACAGCGAGTTAACGGATTTATAAAGGTCATTGTAGAGGACCAGCATAAATAGCCGATTACTGCTATAGCAGCCCAACTTTTAGCTCATAACTTCAATATTACCTTTGGATAGAGCAATAGCCAACTAATACACATAAGATTCGGTAAGTTTGCTCTGCATCCGCTGACTTTCTATTTTACAAACTATTTGTGGCACGTTTTCTTTTTTCTCCTGTGCTCTACTGAGCTCAAGATGTTGGCTGAAAGAAACTAAGTTTGCATTCAAATCTAATGTAGGAACCAACATAATTTTCATATTAGTTTGTCATACATCAGTGGTACCGATTTGACTAAATCGAACTAAAATGAGTCTCATTGCTTATAAGCAGAGCTAAAACAACTGAAATACTGGTCACTTTTCTGAAAACGGCTCCTCTTACATAAAATAGAACTTTGCAGGAAACGCAAATTAAAGTCCTGTGGGGAAGGAGCCCACAGAGATGAATGATTTAATTCTTTTGAGATAAGTTTCTCTAAGTGTAGACTATTGAAATATGATTGTATTTAGGTCCAAATGTACATTTTGGCTATGTAAAGACTTCCTGGCAACATAATCTATTTCATTTGTTGATGGAGCAGTGATAGGAATGTGAGTGGAATCTATACAGCCAATTATGCCTGGAAGCCCTAAAATATATTATTGCACACAGAATTAGGGCTGGGTTTTTACCCTTTACGACGATAACTGGTGCAAATTTATGTCTGTAAATTCGTTAAATAATTCTACCATTTCCCTGTGTGCACTGGTGGCTGTTATTCCCTTACCCTTTAAGGTACGTTCACACTGCAGCCTGAAGTGTCCCAAATCCGATTTTTAAATTTTTTTTTTTGGCCCCCTGGATCTGATCTTTTCATGACAGTCTGAACAACACAGATCCGATTTTTTTTCTCCAATGCGAACCAGGCCACTCGGCTATGTGTTCCTGAATCCGATACGAATCAGATCTTTTCAAATGCGACCTGTGCCTGAACAGCCGACCTGAAAGTCATTAATACCCGAAAGTGGTCACTCTTCTGCTTCTTGCTACGCAGAAATAGCAAGAAAAACAGCAACAATGCTAGACGATAAGAGGAGAGTTGTATTTATGTTTAACCATCTTGGAAAGATTGAGTTTTTAAGGTTGGGAAAGATCGCTAGATGTTCTCCAGCACTACAATCCATGTTTACTGCTTGTGACGTCATTGCGTCCTCTACTGTACATGTGGGACACTTAGGTCGTATGAATGCAGTTCACACAGGAGATTGCATACAAGTCGCATACTTATGTAAATGTGTACAGCAACGCAAAAAAAAATAAAAAAAATATTAGATTTCACAAATAAATCAGAATAAAGCATCAAGACGTAACCAAAGCGCTGCAGTAAGTGAGGAATCGCGTAACTCCACCAATCCAGTCAGAAGCGTAAACGAAGAATGCCAAATGAGCCCATTAAAGAATCGTCAAACACAGGTGTAAACAAATTTAAGTCAGTTAATCCTGTGGAGCTGAGCGAGAACAGAGATGAAGCTGAGCGCACAGAAGTGGAGAGCGCGTTGTCAGTGTCGAGCGCGCGGCAGACATGGTTTGAGTGAAGGTGTGCGAGTTTAAAGGATGCACATTGTTCTCACTGGATGCCTAGCTCGGTGGCACCAAAATTACACCATAGATGTTGAGCAAAATAACACAAAATGCAAAGCTTGCGTGAAAACTGTCAGGACTACCCAAAGTAACACATCCAACCTCCACCACTTACAGCACAACCACACTGTTGAGTTTAAAGATGTGCAAAAGGCTCCATTACCTTAGTGCAAAAATGTGTGCAAGAGAGGAAACATTTTTCTCCTGTTAAATGAGACTTTGTTGAATGTTTAAACTTGAATGGGCACAATGCTTTAATATTTAATTGGAAGTAATATGTAATGTGATTTATTCATTAAATAAATTATAAATAGATCAGTTGCATTTCCTGCACATGTCTTTTTTTTCTGATAGAGGAGCTGGAGCATTTATCGTGCATTTATCATTATCGAGGTTAAGATGCCTAATTTGTTGTGATATTGGTTTGAGGTCACATCGCCCAGCCCTACTCAGAAGGCAGGATTTCCCTCAGATGTGGAGCTGTTATAGCTGTTGAGGTCAAGGCGACAGCATGTTAAAGCCTTTAGATTTACATATATATTTATCGGTGTGTGTATAGGCAAATAATCATGTATTTATTGATTTGTTGTGTATAAAACAGTCATAAATTACCCAGGACTATTACAGACACACCTATTTTCACACATGCACACCCACCACACCCTCGCTCATGGCTCTGAATTGGCCGCAGTGATTACTTTTTTCAGGATGATGGAAAATACCAGTGTCTGGTAGCTCAGTGTGGTATTTCTTTAGCGTGATGATGAGCACACAGGCATTATTGCAAGAGCTCTTAAAGCCAATGGAAAACCACCAACTCCCTGTGGTTTATCTGTTTGTTTTCTCTTTATTTTTGGTCATTATTCATACCCTAGGTCTGGAAGCACACAGACTGCTTGGACACGTTCTGGCATTCGCTCCCTTAGCACAAGAAGCTTCATTTAAAGGCTGGCCTACATAATGCAGACTGTCCGATTTGACTGCTCTCTTTGTAAATAGGTCAGCTCAGACAGACAAGTAGTCTGATTTGAGGAGATTCAAGGCTGCAGGCTGTGAGAATGTGTGTCTCTGAGTCTTATATAGTTTCCTTGAAGACTGATTTCTTTTGCTAGTAGCATTATTCCCTAAAGCAGAATCATGCATGTAGGATTTAGTTACAAAAGTCTGCCTCTTTGGATCATCTAAGCATAATAATGTTCTTTTTTCTGTTCATGATTGTCCTTTAGGGGAAAAAAAAAAAAAAACAGAATTTTTGGGATCACCAATTTGTAGTTTAGTAAACAAAACATTAGCAAATGATCGTATTATGTTTTCTGCAGGGGTAATTGCCCTGCAAGCACTCACTTAGGGTGATGTGTCAAGCCTTATTAGGCAATCATGGCCGTCTCCGCGTTTGTTTTTGTCTGATAACGTGTGTGAATCTGTGGTGGAATCTCAGTAAGGGATAAAAACAGGATTTAAAGGCTTTACATAAAGAGGATCTACCTGTTTTTCTTATCATAGTTACTGTGAGAGAAGGATTTGTGGTCTAAGAGCTGCAGATCTCAGATTTTGTGTCAGACTCCAGTAATAATGGCTGCTACTTAAATGATTGGAGGTGATATACTGATGATTCATTTTATGGGTGACATTTTTGTATCCAAAACATGTAATTTAAAAAATGACTACAATGGACAAATTAAAGAATTTGAAGATATCAAATGACCGACACCTTTTTAGAGTATTTTTCTTTTGCTTCAGTTACAGATAAAGAGAGAGGTGGCAACTGCATACTAGCCATTAGAAAGGGAGACTTCCTTCTTGTTTCTAATGTCTCCAAATCTGTGTTACATCATACATAGAGTCACTAATAAAAGCCTAAAAAAATCAGTGTTTTAACTTTCCATGCATGCTGCATCAACATTGAACAGAAAAAAAAATCTGCATTTAACATGGAGACTAGTTTCTCTTCTTCCTGCTCTTGAGCTTTACCTTTACACACGTTCCTTACAACGGGCAGGTTTGGGTTTGTGGTTAGCATTTCTCTGAAGCGATACATCTATGACAGATCTAAAGGTGTGTGGTTTGGTAGCTGAACGATGAGCTATGTGATGAACTCGGCTCACCCTCATGGCTGCAGATGGTCACAAAGCTGCCTCGTGAGATAATCTTAAGGGTTTTTTTTTTATTTTTAGCCTATGACGTTGTGTTGCCCCCTCCTTTTTTGGTCCGTGGCACTACTCAAAACAATATTGTTTAGTTCCAGAAAAGGACTGGAAAAAACGAGCCTGTAATCCCGGCTGCACTGATGAGCTTTCACATGCAAAGCAGGACGTCTTCACACTGCTGGTGTGGAGCTGTGAGGAAAAGCAGGAAAGACTAAAACCTTTGATTGGTAACTCAATATTATCAAATACTGCTGTCATGTCACTTCCTTCATCATCTCTGTTTTTAAAGAGAAATCTCTTCCTGCTCCGTCAGTCCCTCTGATCTACAACGGCTGCTCTGAGCGCCTCGCCTCACACAGCAGGACAATACCACAGTTATGTAACGCAAAAATAGACATAAAAAGAGTCACAAAGGGACATAAAGTAGGAAGGAAGAGAAGTTAAGACAGAGTATAGAGGAAAGGATAGTGGCTAACCGCAAAAGCCTCTGGGTTTGATCTCAACAGCTGCTTAATAACCACACCTTCTGCTTATTTACTCCTACCTCCACTGACTGAGGAATGCACCCTCTTGAAAGAAGATCACCTGTGCATCATAGTGCTACATAAGCTGCATTTCAAGCTGATTTTAAAAGGAAACCTTGTGTTTCAGCAGTGATGATGGATTCTTTATTTTTACTAATGATTTTGAAGTTTAGTTTTTCTGTTTTTCGTTTTTAATTTCAGCCTTTAACACAGGAGCTATAATCTATTGCTGTAATAGGCCTGTGGAAAAAAACCTTGTTTATTAAGTAAGAACTGATAATCTGGGGATTACCTTTATTTTTTGAGGAGTGCTTAATGTGGGTGCATAAGCATTATATATCTGTGTAAAAATGATTTAGTTTTGTAAAAACACAAACCTTTGAATATATCACCAAAAGTAAGGTATTTTACAAAGGTTTCCTTCTGTTTACAAATAAAATTCTGTTATGTGACCTGAAAGTTCATGTGTTCAACAGCGTAGCCATCAGTAGATTGATGTCTGAGGTCCTGCTCTGGCAGTCGAACGCACAGTCGAGCAGCTTTCCCAGGTTTAGGTCACTGAAAACATTTTCTACTTATAATAGACTAGTAACCAATTATTTGACCAGCGGCCATGTGGTGCATGTGAGTGGTCTAGCCTCGATCAATGCCCAAGGCCCTGGAACTGGTGGGCCAATCACAACGCAGAGATGTGTTTTGAATTTCTGGATGCGAAACGGGCGGAGTTTTGAGGGCGGGACGACAAAGCTGCGTGACGCTGGAGAAAGCACAACAAGGAAGATGGCAACAACTATTGATCAGTAGCAGCTTTCAATAGAGCGCTCCATTGAAAGTTAAGTTCTCTTTTCTGTTGCTGTTGTTCAATAAAAGTACGTTTTTAAGATCATTTGAGGCGAGAATATTATACTTTAAAGCGTCACTATATGATCCATTTACCAATTTTAATGCGTAATTAAAAACACTGTTTCCGAAGAACTCCAAAGCTAACGGCAGCCCGTTTTAAGCGGCCCCCTTTTGGCATATTTGTGTATGAAGGACCACTGCCTCTGATGGTGATTTTTGATTCAGCTTTGGAATCAGTTTTGGAAGGATTAGACTTGGGGTTTTCGTTGAAACGTGGACAGGAAGAGGCTGTACGCTCTTCCATTTTTAAGAAAGACGTATTCATTGTCTTACTGTCAGGCTTTTTCTTTACACTCCCCCACCAGCTTTCTGTCGCGCTTACTACGTCACAGTCAGTTCAGCTCATTGGTCAGAGCATTGGCCATAGGCACAGACAGTGGTTTGAAAGACAACCGGTTGTTCTCATCAACAATCTCCCGATGTCTTATTCATCGGCACCAGGCTATATCACACATTTAATCTCACATTTAGTCTGGTTTATCAGGATATACTTATCGCACTCTGTGGTTATAAAGCTGCAGATTTACATGCCCATTAAAATCTATTTAGTTGGAGATATCAAATAGCCTGTCACAATTCTTATTCAGTCCTCAAGTTGCGTCCCCATAGAACATTTATTTGTACTAATATCAGCTCAGTACAACTCAAAAATGATTTGATCAGGCAAAATATTTCTAATTATACAAAGATATGATAATAGAAAACCTGCAACAGGTTATATTTTCATTGTTTACTATGGGATCATCAGAGAATTAGTTTTTAGTTGTAATGATGGTTGTTTTTTTTTTTTAGTTTTATGGATTTCATGAAATCAAAGGGAAAAGAAGGATGAGGTTGATTGTATGATTAAAACCTGAAGTTTTATTTACAATCTATATCACCCTTTCCTGTGATTATTACCTGATCTGCATTATTTTAATTATTCTGTGCTGCTGTTTTTCGTGTGTTTTATTAGTTTTCTTGACAACAGCTTTGTTAGTAAATATTCGTGACTTGATGCCTTAAAAAAATAACTACTAGTTTTATTCATAATTTGGCTTAGGTCACTTAAAAGCTAGGTTAGCATTAGCATGTTTGTTCTCTGTTTTGGTAAGGTTTGTTGATCTCATATAAAGTGCTTATGTGCTTCTTATGATTGCTTTTGGAAAAATCTTCTTTCTAATTAGCAAAACAATGAGCTTTTCTTTAAACGTAATGTTTACCAACTAGTGTTTCGGCTGCTCTCTGTGCATGGGCAGCAATAGCTGCACTTTCGCTGTTAACGTCATTGAAAACAGATTTGTTAGGTGGAGAAAATAAGGAGCACAGCCTGTAATATTGTATTGCAAGCAGCGCACACAAAAATAGAACATGATATTTAGAAAAACTAGCTTTGCAAATTGCAGGTGGAGAGCTCAGTGGGGGTGCACAGGGCCTAAAATTACAGACAGACCAGCGGCACGGGCTGTTTTCTCTCGGGAAATTTTTCAATTTTCTTCCATACTTGCAAATGAAATGGAACCAAGCTGTACTTAAAAAAAATTACAATTTAGTTCATGCTTTAAAAAAAAAAAATTTTATAATCAGTCAAATAAATTAACTGATTTCTATGTCATCAGCTTATCTGTTTTTAGCTCCTTTCAGCGTTTCAGGGTTGGCTATTTGCTTAGTGGCGTGGTTACTTGTACAATAGGTTAAAAGGAATGTTTTATATTACTGATCACGATACTCTGGATAATCCTGTGACTCTACGCTGTTTAGACTTTGTTTTCAACCTCAGCTCTAAGAAAGATGGGAGGTGCTGGGGGGAAACAACGTTGCACCGTTTTTCCTTTAAGCTAAAAGTGCAAGGGTGTGTGTTCTTCTTTTTTTAGATCTTGGGACACACCTTCTCACCAGGTGTAGATCTCAGCCGTCCTCTCTGCCTCCTCATTACTTTGTCACTCACTCTGCCGTCGTCTTCTGTCTCTCTCTCTCTGTTTGCAGTCTTAAGATGCCCTAAGCTGGAGAAGGAAATGTAAATGGCTTCCAAAGTAAAAGATGCTGTTGTTTGGTACCAGAAAAAGGTAAGAGGTGTTTTGTTTGTTTTTGCTCAACTATGCTTTCTTATCCAGAAGCAGAGAAAATTTTTATTTTGAATTAGTTTTGTATTTTATTACAAATCTGCAGACCAAGGATGAGGTTTAAAAACATTTTCACATTTAGTAAAGGAAATCTGCTGTTCAAGGGAGATTTGCATCAGAAATCTATCCTCCACAAAGCTGCGGTGTCTCTGCCCAGAAGTCATTTGGGTAAAACAATATGCTTTATTTTTGGACCATGGCTGATTATCTGAATTTGATTTGGATTTCCGGATTCTCGTCTCTCTTGCATCTGCATTCATGCGAAAAGCCAAAATGTTTCAGGCAGTGCAGCTCAGCCTGACTCCGGCCGGTGTTGTATGTCCACTTATTCCATGGTCTCAGATATCTGATATTCTTTTGGACTCATGCACCGCTCTTCCTGCAGCTCTCAGCTTACACTCTCATCTGCATCTCTGTCTCTAAAGCTTCATCCCTCTCTGCCTGCTTTTACTCTGAAACTTCTGCTCCGTCTTCCACCCTTCCCTCCTCTCCGAGGTCCTGTTTACAGTTGGCAGACGTACATTTTCCAACCACACAAACAAAACATGACGCACAACTTCTAGACCTTCATCAAAGGTGTAGAGATGCAAGGTGGTGCATGAAACAGGTTCTGTTTTAAAGCTTCAATTTTGTTTGTCTTAATATAATTTTCAGGATATCGTTTAAAGTCGAGCTCTTAATTTGGATCGAGTTGCAGAAGATTTATGTCAAACTAAGCTTGTCTGGGCAGAAGCATCACTAGTGACGGCAGCCGCTGAGTCAGGGATGAATACACCTTTTTAAAGAGTAGTATCACCTGTTGTCAGGGCGTTTGTTTCTTAGATGTGAATCAGATTAGTTACTTCCAGTCTTCCCCTCCTTGGACACGTGAATAAAATTCAAACAAAAGCTTGTTTGTAGATCAAAGACGTCACACTTAGCTGCTATCGGCTGTGATGGGAAAGTGTTGAAAAGTATAGATTGGCATCCAGTTTTTCTTTTTTAATCCTGCAGAGACAGGAAGAGAATCTGAGTGAGAGGGCTGAAACTCTGCCAAGTTATTATAAACTCAGTGAGATAAACTTAACATGATCACCATGAAAAAATGTTTCAGATTCAAAGTTTCAACCACAAGCCCTCCTTTAGGCACACTGACACTATATCTGTCTAATTATATGACGCTCTTTTTCTAAAATGCACTTGAAGAGTTCATTTGCAAAAATTAGCTGAGGTATGTAAATTTAACCTTAAAAAACAGAGTTATCTGTTTTTGCAAATGAACTCTTCATGTTAAGCTCATTGTCATTCGTAGAACAATTAACATCTTCCACAAACTTCGCCTTTTGTCTTGTTGATAGTAAAATTAGTTTGGTGATATGAAACATGTTCATGTTATAATTAAGCAGAACCAGAGCAAATCTGTGGGGGAGCAAATATAGTTTTCCTTAAAGAAGACTTTTTACAAAATCAAACCAGGTGAAACCAAAACTTTTCCATTTGAGAAGTTATGGATAGAGCATATTGACATATGAAAAAGTTTTCATCTTAAATGCAATTTTTATTTATATATATATATATATATATTTTTTTTTTTTTTAACAATTTTTGTCACTCTGTCAGCTAAAGGCATATATTACAGGCTCTAAACTCCAGTTAGCAATCGATTACTAAATTAGTTGTTGATTATTTCAGTAATCCATTAATCACGATTAATCTAATTAATTGTCTCAGCCCTAGTTTCATTATACCTTTATGACAGACCTATGCCTGAAAGGAAGTTTTAATGGATTTTTCTTAGAGCACACTTAGACTTGATAAGAAAAATGCATTAATCTTTTTGGGGTTTGGTGGCAACTGTTAACAACAACTTTAAATGATTGAATGAAGGACACCCAGCTCAGTGTATTATCCTGCAGGAACTGTGCATGATGAATTATTTAACCGTTCCTTCTTACTGCCTAGAGCTCCTGAAACCAAACCAGATTCACACAAGTACCGATTTATCTGAGTTTTCCACTAGTTCACCAAATAAATCCGCCCCTGCTGAGGTAGATTTTCTTTATTAGTCTGTAACCTGCAGGGTCCAGACATCTGAATAGCTAAATCAAAGATGCCGGAATACTGGTGTTTTTGATTCAGCTATGCAGGTGAGTCAAACTTTTACCTTGGAAAATAATGTTTGTGGTTCATTTTTTTGTTTCAGACTGACTCTGTCACCTGCAGCTCTTTAGTAAGTTCTCTGCAGGAATGAGTCACTGTGTATTTCTGACTCTGTCTGGACGCAGACTGCAAATAGACTCAGACTGTTATGTTGAGCTTGTGTTTTTTTTTTCTTCCTGACTGCAGAGCTGAGTTAAGCCCAGATCATAGCGGCGAGACAGCCGCTCTGATTCTGCTCGGTGTCTGAGTCTGTGCAAAAAAAAACTGTCAAACCATTTTTACTTTATATTTGAGCCTGATTGTGAGCATTTTGATTAAAACTAAAAAATATATGAATCAAGGACATATCACCATTTATCACCATATCACCAGCTGAGTTATTATTAACCGTCTGATGAATTTAGAGTTAGGGGAGAGAAGCTGAGTAGTTTTTCAGTCTGTAGGCAACAGATTTCAATGTTAATGGTGTTATATAATTGCAAAGTGTTGGCGTGAAGAATCCAGTGGGTTGTTTGTGGAGGATTTTTTATATTTAGACCAGGGGAGAACATTTCTACTTATCTTATCTAATGTTTTACATGGTTTCTGGTGTATTCCACCAACACAGTGTTACACACCCAATCTATGAAAAATCCTCATATATAAAAGTAGAAAAAGATATTAGAGATACGTTTTTCTACATTCTCCAAATCTTCCTAATATTTGTGTTTAGTTTAACTCCTGAATTATGCAAAAAGGTGTTGTTCTGAGACCTGACGTTTTGATTGTTGGATGAATTTTTGCATCATGTAGTGGTTAGTTAGCCAGGATTAAAGTGATCTGAAGAGCTTCCTTTATTTATGTTCTTTCTGACACTGTGGCCTTATGAAAACTGGATGACGTTTCTTCTTCCTGTTTTAAAAGATTTAATTAGACCCACAGCTCTTTAGATAAGATGCTGTTATGGCTATACTGAACAGAGGAAGAGGTGTTAATAAGAAACCACACGCTGTCAGACTGGGTTCACTGATCTACGAGCTTTTTTCTTTTTGTCTTTACAGCTTAAAACTAAAAATTTTTACTTGTTTAGTGTTTCAGGAAACCCTTCAAATTAATGAACCAGAGCCAGTTAATATTTTAATAACAAAATGCAGCCAACCAAAGAAAAGCTCCACATTATTAAAAATCCTTTACTCAATGGCTTTTTTTTAACACTCTTACGTGTCCTTTTTTTTCTCTATTTGACTGTAGATGCTTCAGTACAAACACATAACATATGGTTGTTGCTCAATTTGTTTGAGGGAGGCATCATTTCCTCTATTTCACGTGTTGACTGAAGAGTTCATCTACTCAGTGGAAATATGGTTTAAAACCTTTGATAAAATACTATAAAGGGACATCGACGATATAAAAAAGTCAAAATGCAAATTGAGGCACAAAATGAGTCTTTGATCTTGTTTGTGTTGCCGACGCCATGAGACGTTTGGTCTGAAGGTCATATTGACACACAGTGCATACGCTCATAAAACCTGTATGCCAAATTATTCATTGTGCACAAAACTGTCCACACATAATGATATCTCTGCTGTGTAAAGAGATCAAGTGAAAAATATGTTATTGATCCCAAAGAGAAATGAAACGTTGGAACTCTTGGAGGTTTTAAGGCCAATTTATTCTTCTGACGCATAGCCTCTGCGACTGTCAAATCGGTCTATGTGCGTGACCGCGCCCCCCCACGCAGAGATTCAGCAATCATAGTTGCACACCTCAAAAAAAATCCTGACTATGCGTTGGACGGTTGCAAACCCACGCAGACCTCAAACGGAAGTGCGCAGATAAAAATCAGCTGTGATTGGTCCTTGGTATGCCTTTCCGGCTGTGTGCCGTCCTTCTTGATAGTTTCGGGGGGTGCCATTTTTAAAAACCGAGGAACAACTACAATGGACAACCTACGTGTCCTCCTTTGTCTTTTTGCCAACTCCATTAACAGAACCTGTTCCTCTTCGATGTCTAGCAACTCTAGATCCAAATCCATGACCATGATATCTTGCAGGCGCGCCTTCGTTGTTTTGTAAGATAAACACTCGCACCGGCGAAGTTCTAGTGACCAAGTTCCAGTTCTCGAATAGGCTCCCCCATGCGCTTTGGTGGGAAGCTTTGGTAGAAATTCCAGATTGACGGTGCAGAAGCATAGCAGAAAACTGTTTCGCGATCAGACCCAATCGACATTTGATGTGTGCGGATGCAGAAGTATAATCTGCCCTTTATAATTGAACTTTATTGATCTCACATTGGAGAAATTTACCTCTGCATTTAACCCATCCCCTTAGGGAGCAGTGGGCTGCCATCGTGGGGCACCCGGGGAGCAGTGTGGGGTTAAGGGTCATGCTCAGTTAGTTGTTGTAGATGTTGACAGCTGTAGGCAGTAAGGATCTACTGTAACAGTCTGTGTGGCACTGCATCTAGAGAAGCCTCTGACTGAATACACTCTTTTGTTTTTAAACAATCTATATTATTTTAAAGTCCTACTAAAGATAAAAGGACTTCAAAACTTCAGTAATTTACTGTGTTTTAAAATAAATGATATGGTCAGTGAAACAGCCTGTGTATCTTTAGTTTTGCCTGTTTTACATGCTTCCTTTTCTTGGCTAAATATAAACCTTACATACTATCACCGGCCTCTCTGTATCACCGAGGGTCACCCTTTAAACCTGCCAGCAGTTAACCCAAGTGCAACATAAGCTGCTCAACACAGGTTTGTTATTCTAATTTTATCACCAGTTTCACACATGCACTAAATTAATCCTTAATTCTCAGCATTTATCTAGATTTGTCAATGTTTATTGCAAACAAGGTGGATTCGGAAATTAATTTTTGAGATTTTTTTTGCTTAACGGATGAGTTGTCAAAGAAGATATGCACATAAATCTCTTGTCATCCTCCGGGCGCGTTGAATAGAGACAGCCCATTCCAAGGAAGTCATTACACTTCAGGGAATTCCAGGGAAACAAAATTGACATGCAGTGGTTTTATTTTTGTCTTCCGTTTGCATATAAGGGATTTAAATCACCTTAAATAATAATTTTGGAGGATTTAAAAAATTTGCATTCTTATTTTTAGTAAATGTAAAAAAAAAAATAAATATATAAAAAAATAAAAAAAGGTTTTCTATTCAGGTTAGATTCGATTCATTCTGTTACATAGCTCTGAATTTTAGCTCCAAACTCCTCTCACTACTTTTGGTATGACATAACAGCTATGGTTATAAAAAAGTCATTATCCAAGCAATGAACTGATAAACCGGCTGTTCCACTTTGATGTCACTGCAATTTTTATTGTTGTGAAATTTCCACCTGTGGTGCATACCACACCAAGCTGATAGTATGAGTATGAACCTGCTACATGTGGCCACACGGAAATGCACACATGCTTATATATATCTATATAAAAATGTGTGAGAGTATATGTATATATAACCAGTTACTCAGAAATAAGTGACTGTTTGAAGCCTCGAGGTAAGCAGGAAGCAAAGTCCACTGGGCTGCAGTAAACGTGCCTGTTTTCACTTTCTGTATAAAAATAAAGGCACCCGCACTTCTGCCATACACACTAGTTTTAGATATTGCTAATCTTTTACAGTTTACGATAAAGTAAAAATAATAATCTACCTATTTAGATAAAAAGTAAGAGATCAGAGTCAATGTTTGTTCTGTATGTTTTTGTTTTTTCTCCTTCCTACATGTCTATAAACTAACGAGATGTAGTTCAAATCAGCTTCTTTATGTAATAAAACTGCGTATCGGTCAGAAGACGTCTGGATCCATAAAGATGAACGGAAAGAAGCGTTATTTTTTCTCATGTTTTAAAAGTGAAGAAAAGTTTTTTTCAAACCAGGAAAATCCTGATTATTGCATCTCTAATTCAAATAAACTGTTCTGTAAATAAGTGGTTAAATCTCCTGTAATTGAAGTTTTAGTTATATTTTAAGGGGTAGATTAACACCAGATTATCTTCATCGTAGTGTTGTACTGTTTTTGGTGTTACTGCTGGTCATATTTTAGGAAATATGTATGCAGAGACGGCAGATTACAAAAAAATGAATTGGGAAATAAAAGCTAAAACTATAGCCTCTAAACTATAGACGCATATTAAACACGGCTGGATTTTTGTTTAACTCTTTGTCTATTTTTCAGTAAACATGTTTCTTTGTACTGCAGAGGCAGCAGTTATGTAACACGCCGTCCCCTCCAGCTGTTGTCATGAAGCTGCGGCGCCACTCAGCCGGTCATCTGTCTTAGTTTTCCTCTCAAACCACTAACCTTTTTTAAAACGGTTATCCAGCAAAGGACTGCTTTATTTTAAGAGGCGCTGGCAAAGATGTAGAGATGAGTGTGAGGATAAGAGGATTGGCTTTGTATGCTGTCATGGTTTGGCATCGCCTCAGTGACCTGCGGAGCCATCTGCTTCTGCTAAAAGGTCTGACAGGAACCATGAAGCGCCCAAACCAGTAGCAACATCCAGGACCAGTAAAGCCAGAGTGAATCGCTCACGCACTGAGGTAGTCTTCCACTCGTGGCGTGTTGTTGAAGCCGTTTTGTCTAACCTGGGAGTGGAGCTGGTTATGTGACAGATTCCTCCTGCTGGGTGGTTAAAGCCGATGCTGAATCATGAATAGAAATAGATTTGACACGTGCATTTAAAAATGCAACATTTGAGAGAACGTTTGTTTTTCTGTATGAAACAAAGAGAATAAATTCATTTCACACTTTTTCTATGCATCGATTAAGAAATAAAAAATGACACGCATTACTTTCAAAAACTAGCTTTTATCTTCATCATCCCCTCCAGGAGATGACCTTGATCTAAAGGGTGACAATTCAATTTAGTGTCATCGTTTGTTGTGAAACATGATTGTTTTACAATCATGTTTCACAACAAACGATGACACAAATAATGAAAATATAAAACACTAAATATTTGCAGCTAGTGGCGTTACAGAGTCGGCTATTATAAAAACAAAGTGAACTGATGTCATTAATGATCTATGGAAGCCTAAGGTGAACGTTGGTGGGGAAAAAAATAACTATTTTTATTTTTTTTAAAAACAAAAAAACTCCATAAACAAAGAAAACAGCTAACGTATAAAATTGATAAATTTCCCTGCCCTAATTAAAACTGTGGCGTTTAAACGGAGATACCTTGGTGTTCTCTTTTCAGCTCAAAGTTTCATCAAAATGTAAGATTCTCTCTTTGAAGGAATCAGCTTCTTAGCAGCCAGTGAAACTGGAAACCCATAAATTTTACTAATCAAATATTTGCTTGCCAGTCAGTGTTGATGAGAGGGCAAATTCAGAGCAAATGATCAGTTTTACTGCTGTTTCCTGGAGGAATGAGAGCAGATCATTCTAAAGAGAAACGGTTGCTTATTTTTCATAAACGTATCCTGGATCTGCTCCAATTTTACTGATGTTTCTGTGTCGCCTAATGACTTTATAAATAATAAACTCTGGCTTTAACTTCCTGCAGTTTCTGTGCAGTTTGCAGCTCACTGAAAAAACAAATAGTTGATAACATTCAAGAGTTTCCCAGAAATCCAGAGATCAAAATCATCAAGACTGATGGGTGAAATTACTTAAGAGGTTAAAAATAATTCTCTATATGGTTTCTAAAATGACTACCGTAATTTTCGGACTATAAGCGGCGACTTTTTCCCCATTTTTCGACCTTGCGGCTTATATAACAATGCAGCTTATCTATTGACTTTTACAGCTAACGGCCACTAGGGTAATACCTAAATCTATGGATTTTACCATCCACCATGTTGACGTCACATTTGCTTCAACACACATGTACGGTAGCCGCGTGTGGGGGAATGCGGAGGTCCTCCGGAAGCAGACTTCTACCGTGAGTAGTACGAGACAGAACGACAGTGAGAAAGACAGACATTGCGAGCGGAAGACAGTTTGTGTGACACCCTTATTATGAAAACAAAACGTACCGGTAGAAATAATAAATAGGAGCTTCCCCAAACAGTTGCCTCTTTCCCGACAATCCTCTCTGTGCACGAACCATATGGTAATTAAACACAAAAAAACTGCTACTTATAGTCCGGTGCGGCTTTTATATGTACAAATCATGCTTTAGCTTCTGCGGCTTATATTCAGATGCGGCTAATAGTCTGAAAATTACGGTATTTTAGATTAATGGCCACATTAATCAACCTATAGTCTAAATAAAAAGTCCTGCTTATTTAAACTACATTAAAGGCACTTTGATAAGCGCTTCTGTTTCTTGGTGTTCTTGTCCTTGACCCCCTCTCTTCTTTCCATCAAGCTTTAATGAGCTCTCATTAATGATGCAGACTTTCCACTGACCTAGACTCCATCCATGGGAGACCAACTCATTGGCAATAGTGCCGCGTTCGTTTCAGGTTCTGCTTGGCCAGTCAGCCCACAGCAAACACTACCTGTTGGTAGACTATGACTCCCACTGTCATATCCAATGCTCTTATGTCTATTTATCGACATAAATCATTTTGTCTGCTTTATAACTCTTCTCTCTGAGATGTTTGAGATGCAGGAAAAAAAGAAAATCAATTATGTGACCCTAGAACATAATATTCAGATTAGGATGTAAATATTAGGATGATGATGATATGTTAGAGCTTTACTCTGTTCTCCATACAGCCGGAGAAACCTTTGGTCGTTTAATTAAATTTATTTCTAAATGTTGGTCTGCAGAATTGAGAATTTTAACCCTTTTGAACCTTTTTAATTACCTTTGGTGAACCTGAAAACTCTTAACCAGTCCAATTTTTCCAAAAGGAAATTACATTTTTTTTATTCTGTGAATATTTGTTTGTTTTTGAAGTGCAATTTGGAGATAAGTTTGCTTTATATCTGGTTTCTCTTAAACGTTCTTCCTTGTGACTCTCAGCCGTATTTATCTTTGCAGATTGGAGCCTATGACCAGCAGATATGGGAGAAATCAGTGGAGCAAAGAGAAATAAAGGTCTGTTGCTTCTGTTTGTTTTATTTCTATTTGTCTTCTGTCATCCTTTGCTTTGTTTTCTCTTCGGTTTCTCCTCTTGTGTGCAGTTTTATTTCTCTCCCCTCTGACTCTGTACCATCAGCTCTTTTCCACTGCTTTTCTTTTAATCTCTTTGGTCTCTATCCACCTCCTGTGTCCATCTTTTCCACCTCCTCTCTACAGTTTATTTCTCTGGTGAGTATGCAGCGGGGTGGACGGTCCTCTTGTGTCCCACCGTGCATGTCCTCACTCCCACGCCGTAGATTCTTAGTTTGTGGTTTGACTTGAGCTGCAGTGTTACAAACTAACCCAGCCTGCGTTTTTAATTGACAAGTTATAACCGGCTGCAGGGAGGTTTAAATGCAGCTGGGGTTGTCTGGGTGGGACCACAGCATGAGTCATGAAATCAGGGCAGCATTAGGAATAAACATCTGCCATTTTTATCCTACAACCAAAACTTTTTTTTTATTTTTTTACTGCAAGTTATTATCCTGATTTTTCTCTATATGTTTCACTCCAGCAAAGTTAAACAATAATTTATTAAAACAGAGGACAGATCAATAGTTGTAGAGGAGCAGTAGTGTAAATGATTTACCAGCAAGGCTTGAAGCTGCCCTATAGTCCTGCTATCACTTATTGACTGATGGTGCACTCTAAACACGTTATTCTGATCCGTAATAACAGGAATCTGGCTCCTTTTGTGTGTTTGTGTAATTCAAACTGGGCTTTAGCAGAAGTTGGTATCATGGTGTCAGGTTAAAGGCCTGAGCTCCTGGGTTATGAGGGAACCCTGTTTCTCTCTGAGATCAGTTATTCCATCACATTACAACCACAAACTTCATGGTTTTGTTTTATGTTTTTGTTTGTTTTCCGGAGTTTGACTAGGCCATTTTGCCATTATCAGGTTTTAAAGTAATGATCAGGATCACTTCCATCTATCTATCAGCTCTGACATGCATCCCCACAGCATAATGCTGTCAACATCGTGTTTCACTTAAGGGGCGGTGTTTCTGCTGTAATGAGATCTACTGTTTTTTTTACTATGCAGCCAAACATTAATCTTTGGTCTCATCTGACCAGTACAGCTTCCTCTTCATGTCCGATATGCCCCTACATGGCGGTAAATACGGAGCATCGTTGCTCTTTCCTCTCCACCGAAGAGCAGATCGGTCAACTTGTCAGAGCCATTTCTCCACCAAAGCCGTGGATCTCCTGATTCCCTCCTTCCGGACCGTCGTGTCTTATGATGAATGTTTTGGCGTTTATTTGAACAGACATCAAAGTTGCTTTGAAAATATGACAGAACCGGGTTTAAACTTTGCTGTATTTTTTCATCTTTGTGACGTTTGTTCCTCATAGAACAAAATATATCAAAGCGTTTGGATATAATATAATGAAATGTAAAATTAAAGGTCAGAATACATGCAGAAAGAAATAAGTTGTGAGAATAGTCGGCTGCATCGCTTCTTCTTCTTCGAAAGCTGCCCCAACTTCTCTAAAACAGAAATGAGAAGCAGACAGCTGCGCCTCTCATAGGGCTGTTTGACCTTGATGCAGCTCTCTGCAAGGTTTCCCAGTCTGCAGCAGGCAGTTTCAGTCCTGCACAAGTGCTGTGCACTCCTTACCCGTAAGAACGTCTAATTATACAACGCAGAGGCTGATAAGAACCCAGGCAATCATTATCATAAATCTAGAGACGTTTCATAATTTACTGTGGTTTTATGTTTAACACCATACAACACAATCTTTAACCACCTTAATTTATTTTCTGCTGTTTTAAATGTATCTAAAATGACAACTTTTTAAGAACTATGTGATGTGCAGATTTAGGCTTTTCACTTTCTTTACTATCTGATGCAAATTTGCATTATACTCCTTCACTGATGCTAAATAGTTGACTTTGTAAGGGAATCTTGTCTTATGGTTTAACCCCATGTCGCCCCCTGCAGGTGAAAACAGAAAATGCATTTTATTTTTGCAGATTTAGGATCATTTAAGCAAATAATGGAAGCAAATACATTTTTAATGAGTGGATGTTGAACATCTGCTAAATAATGACATGGAAAATTCACAAACTGCATTTATCAGCATGGAGACATTTTATTTCAAAAGATAAAGGCCTATATATAGCAGAGATGGGGGCTTATCAAAGAGGAAGCTATCGATCAGCTACCTCAAGACCTACACACACTCCTATTCTCCTGAAGGTTTCCTCCCCTCTGCAAACACTTTATCAGCTTGTTGGAGCCGTTTTAAGATAAGGAGCCCAATATCTCATTGCTATCACTGATAACGGGACTTGATTGGCTTGTGTAAATGTTGGTATGAGAGGAATTACTTTAAAGGCCATGATAGATCAGGATGCGCTCTTATGTTACTGGTAATAACAGTGTTATTTAAAATTGGTACAAGCTATGTTTGTGCTAAAGCTGAAAAAGTATCTTGCAGGTATTTTCTTTGTGGTTGGGTGGGGATGGGGTTCCTATCAAAATTATTTAGATTATTCCACTAATTTTGATATAAATATTTGGATAAAAAAATACAGTCTCAATTGAAGATTTACCTATTAAAGTGTCAAACCAACCTAGGTCTTGATTTGAAGTTAATAATTGAACCTGTCTGACTGGATGAAGTAGGATGTGAGATTGCCAGGTGGAGCAGTGGTTAGCGACCCATGTTTAGAGCCCTTAGTCTTCGACGACGCCGACCCAGGTTAAAATCCGACCTCTGGTCCTTTGCCGCATATCTCTCCCCCTCTCTCAAACATGCTGGTATTAATGGGTTATGGAGCTTTTCTAAGGCTCTGAGAAAGCGACGGCTGGTATTCACGAGTGGAGAAATGATGGAAGAGTAGAGATGGCTCCCAGGAGCGCCCAGCCTCCCAAAATGACCCCAAGGGTGAATTAAAAAAATATGAGAAGCATGAGAACATTTTAGAAATCCTTTGCTCCAGTTTGTTCGGTTCATGTTTCAACAGTAAGACGTTAGACTAAAACAGCCAAAATCACTGGTGACCAAAAAGAACACAAAGTCAGCTAATTAGTCTTTTCTTTCTCATTTTATCTTTAAGCACAAGAGAAATTTGGTAATATAGCAGAATAATAGGTGAAATAGCACAGCGGGTCCACGTTTGAACAAGGACATGTTGGTTTAGTCAAAGTACAGATTTAAATCGATTTTAGTCACCATGGTCTCACGTTAAAACGCTCATTAATAATCACCTTCTATGACTACATCTAAATGAAGGACTCTTTGGCATGTAAATATTTTTTATTTAACAGCATCTATCAGGTCTAGTAGAGTTATCTCGATTTGCTTTTCTGGATCTTCAGTTTTTCGACACCTTCCTTTAATATAAAATAAGAATGATCTAGAATAGAAATATGTATGCAAGAAACGGAAAGAACTCTTTTATGTTTTAGTCTTTAAGAACAAAGTAATAATACCATCTTTACCACAGCATAAAAAGGTGTGATGTGGATAGGTAAATATATTTCTAATCCATAAGAAGTGAAGTAGTCTCAGTACCTTTTTTTGACTCGGTGCATAAAGACAGAGCAGCACAGGAGGAAGTGACACGCAGCTGCAGGAAGTTGGGGTTATTCCCCAGGGTCATATTTGATCAAAGCCCCTTCCTGAGCCACAGCTGACATGATGCAGCTGGGTTTACGGACTGAAACTGCTGAGTAGATGCTGGATGTAGATATAAACCCACTAGAAGTGAGTAGATCCAAAGGCTGTTGAAAGATTAGAACTTGTCTTTGTTCTCACCGCACAGTGTGACCTCTCATGCATGAAGTGCTTTATTTGCATCTATTTGATGTTTTAATTAATCTCTGTCTTGCTTTGCAGGGCTTGAGGAACAAGCCAAAGAAGACGGGACACGTCAAACCAGATCTGATAGATGTGGATTTAGTTAGAGGTGAGAAATCTCTGGGGCGTCATCATCACAGCAGCCTCCTTCTCCCACACGTTAAAGCCCACTTCTGTGCTCTACAAGATGAGCTATAACCTGTTTGATTCTCAGGTTCAGCGTTTGCCAAGGCCAAACCAGAGAGTCCGTGGACGTCACTGACCAGGAAGGGCCTCGTCAGAGTCGTTTTCTTCCCCTTCTTTTACCGATGGTGGATTCAGGTCACCTCTAAAGGCATCTTTCTACTGCTGTTGGCTCTGTATCTGCTGCAAGGTAGGACTTAACTCATTTTTCTGTCAGTGTACTGAACCAAATCTCAGCATTTTGAACATTTTAGCTTATTTTAGAGGTTTCTAACTCAGGCTCCTGTGTTTAGTTTGCCTTTTAACACGAGGCCTACCATGTGCACACAGCGATTAGGGAGCACCGTTCAACTCTAACGTCAATGATTTCCACCACCTTTGCTGGACGACGTACACTGTTGCCTTTCATTGCTCCCTCCACCCTTCCTGCTCGCCTTTTTCCACCTCTAACCAACAATTTATCCTCCATGAACCTGACTTTCAGAGTTTAGTTTGGGTTCACTGAATTCTGAAAACCCCTTTTATGGAGTAATGTAGGGTATATAGAGGGAAAGCTTATATTTAGAAGGAAGAGGCCTTTATCTGCATAGCGGCTTTTCGTGAGACGGCAAAAAAACCCAGGAAGGAAGGTACGACATAAAGGCAGGAAGAAAGCAAGCATGAAAGGACAGGAAGCGAAGCAGGAAAAAGAGACGAAAAGAAGACAGGACACAAGAATAAAAGTAACAACCTATAGAAGCAAGAAGGAAATTAGTTTAGAAATAAATCTGTAAAAGTAAAATTGTTTTCATCAGATTCCGGAGCCCATCGCTGTGTGACGGGTTACGCCTCCACTATAGATTCCTCCTCCATTCACCAGCTGATGGACACAGTTCTAGTTTCTGGTATCGATTTTAATCCTGCTGGATCCAAATAGTAGCAGGATGGACTTTTCCTGGCCTAATGCCCTCCCAGCTAATAGAGAAGATTAGACTAAAGCTCACAGAGAGACACTGTGATCAACAAAAATAAAGAAAAGCAGACAAATGCTGTTATAGCACTTTACTTTAGTAAAACAAGATTGTATTTATATTATAAATATCTTATCAGTCTAATCCAATTATAAAGACGGATTCATATTCATGCACTTTTCTATTTGGGAGGAGCTGTAAAACAATGCTAACTGGAATTAAATGTCCATCAGCTGTTTATGCCATTAATAAAGGCAATAACCTTAAAAAAAAAAGCATCTATTTCCTTTATTGAAGTGAAATACACTGCATTGATGGACCAGATGTGGATCCTAAAGGTAAACATGGATTGCTGTTTCTCCTCAGTGGCAGCAGCAGCCCTCTATGCGACCATCTCCCAGCCTCATGGGATCCCAGCCACCGAGGTGTTTGGAGCCATCTGGCTCATGCTGCTGCTGGGAACCGTCCACTGTCAGATCGTTTCCACCAGGACCCCAAAACCCGCCTCCAGCAGCGGCGGCAAGAGACGCAGGTGAGCTGGTGCAGGAAGGCGGTGACGGGAAGTTTTTTAAATACGACCAGAAGAAAAGCGAAATCAGAGTGAAATGTTGGGACAGAAACATAAAAGGAGGATCAGTTTCTGATATTTAAATCCATAATCAATACGCCTGTTATTGGTTAACTGATAAACAAACAGCTTGTTTCTTTAAATTCCTAAAAGCTGTTTGTGGTACTATATTAGTTTTTTAATGGTGTGGCTGTTTGCTGTGTTTTGGAGTGTTTCCAGTTTGTTGGTTTCATGTCCGTCAGCATGCTGCTGCCAGTAGAAATCTGAACCTCTGCTTTAGGAGTGTTTCTCCCTGCGCTGGATCAGCCGCAGGTTTTCATTCACCGGAGGAACAGAAATCTTTAATAGGGAAGTAGAAGAAAAACCCACATATAGCTGCATTACATGGAGCAAAATACTCCATATACTTTCTAATAATGATTTTGTTGTTTATGGTTAAGAGCTAAAAAACACAATATTCAGTTTGCTACTAATAGATCAGATCTTTGTTTGCTCATCCTCTCAAGGCTTTTTCTGCCACACAACTTTCCATGAATAAGCTTGGATACAGCAGTCTGTCAGCAAACATTATGTGACTTTTCCTCACTAGAGACACTGACCGCATATGTGGAGTTAACATTATTGACCGTTGGTAGCAATACACACTTGAATCATATAATTTATTTATTTTCTTACGATGAACTTGTAATAGCTCTCAGGGCAGATGTTTCATCCACCAGCACTATAAATCCTCCTTCTGTTAATGACACATTAACAGAAAAAACAATTTTCTTTTCTTCCCCCGCTATCAATGATTATTAATTTTTTTCTTCAGAATCAAATTTATTTCTGATTAACATTTTGTTTCCAGGATCTTTTATCTGTAATATTTTTTTTTCTTTTTAGATTAACATATTCAGTTCTGCAACAGTAGAGAATATAAACATTTGATTAAATTTCCATCTATCTACTCCAATCACTTAAATCAAATGATCTACTTTTGCAGAATACCAACCTAATGTGGGGGTTTTATATTTTATATCGTTCTCTAAGGCCTCTTGGTCTGCTCTAAGTCTCTTCTCTGATCTCCGTTCTTTCCAAACTGAAGGAAGTTGAGGAAGGCATCTCAGATGGAGGTGCATAGGGAAGGAGACGGGTCTAGCACTACCGATAACACACAGGAGGGGGCGCCACATTCTCACTCAGCCAGCACCACATACAGCCTGGGTGCTTTCTTCCAAGATTTCTGGCATGATATCTGTAAAGCTGGGTGTGTATTTTCATTTTCCTGGTTTCTGTGATTAGACTGTGTTAAATGGGGGAAGGTTGTGCTTTGAAGACAAAAATCAATCTGTCTGATTCTTCTTAATACAAATGCTGACTGTTTGAAATGTGAAATTTAAAAAGAAATATTTAAATCTTTAAAGATGAAAACAGAGAGCCAACCTTGCCTCAGACCTTTTTGCCTGCTTCATTAGCTGCAACATCTTTCACAATCTGACCTCTTTTTCTCCTGGATAAAAGAGTTCAGCCGACCCAAAATATAAAGTCTGTTTTAGTCGACTTAAAATGCAAGAGTTGTTATGAGCAGCTGAAGGGTTTTGCAGCTACTGCTGATGTGATTAATGTGCCGATTATGATTTTGTTCTAAAGCTGCATGCTGCCTCTGTTCCATGTTGTCCGTTTTCAGCCTGCAGGAGTTTTGGGCGACTCAAAACTCCTCCAGGCCCTTCGGTTATTTCATGCAACAGTTACGTCTTTAAATATTTTTGTAAATCTGACTAGAAACAATCTGATGTTTGTTGATTCTCTTTATGTTCGGTATGGTAGCAGTATGATGACTCCCTCTGATTTTTATTATTCTCCATTACAGATGTTTTTTTTGCATGACTGTTCCAGTGTTGTGTTAAATGTTTCTGTTTAGCCTGGATATGACGAGTCTGCTGACTCCTCCTTTGGTTACTCGCCTCCCTTCCACTGCAGGTCCAAGAAGTCCAAGCTGTCCATCGATAAATCGACGGAGACTGATAATGGCTACGTGTCCCTGGATGGACGGGTGACCAACCGCAGCAGTGAGGAGGGCCTCCAGCTGCACGATCAGCGCTGTGACCTACTGACCCGGCCAGATGAGGCGTGCTGGAACCCTCACATCCAGCCCTCTCACTCTCCGACGACGCGTGGCCCAGGACTGCTCACAGCAGGCAGCCATAAGGTCAGCAAAGCAAAATCATCACTCAGTACTTTAATAGATTTATTGGAACAATAGAACAACATTTCCAACTTGTGGATTTGGTTTTGTGTTTCAGGAGCCTGCATCTGATGAAGCTTCCAGCGAGGAGGATCCTGAAGCCTCCTACAGCGCCCTCCGCAGGGGAGCTGAAAGAAAGAACAGTGACTGTACTCTCCGCAACCGCAAAAATACACATCTTTACAAGAAACACTATGCTGTGGAGGTAAAGGGTGCAGTCTGATTGGTGGATAAATCATGCAGAGCCAGGCAGTAACCCCTTTATAATCATAAATCTTTGTTTTGACCATCAGGATGTTCCCAAATCTGGAACCAGCTGCAGCTCCAGATGTTCCAGTATGAGAACCCAGGACTCTGAGAGCACGCGGCACGAGTCTGAAACAGAGGACCTGATGTGGGAGGACTTCCTGCACTGTGCAGAATGTAGATCATCCTGCACCTCAGAGACGGGTGAGCTGATTGAACTGTTCATGAGAAACCAGGCTTTCCAGCACGCCTGTTTACACCGCGACTGTTTTTAACAGAGGGAGAAGCAGGAGGGACTTCTGTCTGTCCTCCATCGAAGAAGGAATACAGAGATGATCCGTTCCATCAGGTATGTAGGCCTGTTGCCTTTAACTGAGTATTTTCCTATTCATCCTCCATTACTTAACCAAACATTTGTTTAAATAAATCGAGTTTTCACGTATAACTGTAGTTGGTTATGCTTTTATTGCAGAGCCATATTCCCTGGCTGCACAGCTCCAACCCCGGCCTGGAGAGGGTGAGCGCCATCGTGTGGGAGGGAAATGAGTGTAAGAAGGCAGACATGTCCGTCCTGGAGATCAGTGGCATGATCATGAACAGAGTGAGTGGCTCCTCAAGTGCTTGTTAGAGAAGTTGAGGTATTGTTAAGTAAACCACAGTGACCCTCCTGTCTGTGTGTTCAGGTGAACCTCTACACTCCTGGCATTGGCTACCAGGTGTTTGGGAACCTGGTTTCAGTCACTCTGGGACTCACGCCCTTCGTCTACAGGTACAGCAGACATTAATGTCCCTGGAAGCGGCTCACATTGAGCCCAATGCTGACTAACACCCTCCTCATCCCACAGGCTGGTTCAGCACTGTGACCTGGATCAGTTCACTACGCTCTCAGCAAACGAGATGCTCTCTGTTGCTTTGGGGGGAGGATCCGAATCTGATGCCCTGGTTATCACCATGGTAACACTCAGCTTCCTAGTGCGTGTTTGCCTTATTTGGCTCTTCTTCTTCCTGCTCAGTGTGGCAGAGAGGACCTACAAACAGGTAAGAGCATAAAATCCATGTTTATTTGTGGAAACGGTCAAACCAGCAGATTTTTTTCAGCTCTTCTGATCTCTGTATTTCAGAGGCTGCTGTTTGCCAAGCTGTTTGGTCACCTGACATCAGCCCGCAGAGCCAGGAAGTCTGAGGTTCCTCATTTCCGACTGAAGAAAGTTCAGAACATAAAGATGTGGCTGTCGCTGCGCTCATACCTCAAGGTACCAGTCCACGGGTGTGGCTTTATGGTTACCAGTCTCTCTGGAAACACACAGTGACAATTTGTTTGAATTAATTCACAGAGACGGGGCCCTCAGCGTTCAGTCGACGTCATTGTGTCGTCAGCCTTCCTCCTCACTCTGTCCGTAGTCTTCATCTGCTGTGCTCAGGTAACTTTAAGCCCGCTTTGAATTAAAGGTGTTTTAGCTCCTCCCCCTGACTCTGTCCTTGTCTTCCAGCTTCTCCACGTCCATGAAACGTTCCTGGAGTATCACTACAACTGGGAGCTGGTGATCTGGTGTGCCAGTTTGTCTCTGTTCCTGCTCCGGTTTGTAACTCTGGGCTCTGAGACCAGCAAGAAGTACAGCAACACCTCCATACTGCTTACTGAACAGGTAGGAGCAGAAACAGATGGTCAGCAGCGAGGGTAGGTGTTCCTGTGATCTCACTAGCTGTTCCTCTGCCCCATAGATCAACCTCTATCTAAAGATGGAGAAGAAGCCAAACAAGAAGGAGGAGCTGACGCTTGTCAATAATGTCCTAAAACTGGCAACCAAACTACTCAAGGTACCACCTCACTGCCTCACCTCTCCTCTCGGATCAACAAAGTCTGCATTTCTAACAGTTTTCTCTGTTTCCAGGAGCTGGATACTCCATTCAGGTTGTATGGTTTGACCATGAATCCTCTGCTCTACAACATCACCCAGGTTGTCATCCTGTCTGCTGTCTCAGGAGTCATTTCTGACCTACTAGGATTTAATCTCAAGGTAAGAACTTCCAACTTTTTATTAGCAGATAGACATTATATATGTGGACTCCTAGAGGGTGGCCATCTGGGATCGGACCACAGTTTAGACAGCTGCTGACAGAATCAATAGGAGGCGCCCATTTTAATCACATGAAAGACAAGTCAGAGATAATATTACAATAATCTCTTACATGTCACAATCCCTTAAAATTGCCTTATATAGTACGTTAGATTATTCATTCAGATTAAAAACTATTTAAGCTGAACTCAAACTGGATGAGATATATGCAAAGTTAAATGTTAATATATTGTAAGATTGCTTTACAAATATTCAGCATTTTAAGGGAATACTCTTTGATAAGTTTTATGATCTATTGAGGAAAACTTGTAATGTGATTTACAAAAGTTATTTTAGTTTTAAAACATTTGTTAATATTTTATTTTGTCACTGTCAAGACTTTGTCAAATCGTAGTGAATGGTACATTTATGTTGTGTCTAACCTTTCAAACTGTTTTTATTTATGCAAATGTGAACATTTGTTCTTTAATCAGTTAATAAAGCCTTTAGTTAGACACAACATAAATGTACCATTCACTACGATTTGACAAAAAAATAAATAAGAAAATGTAAACTAAAAACTCTTTATTGTAAATCACATTACAACACATCTTCCTCTATTAATCAAAATACTTATTATCAAAGAGCAATCCTTTAAAATACACCATATAAATATAAAACTTTGTGTTTATCATTAACTTTGCATATATCTCATTCAGTTTTAAGGGATTGTGATATGTAAGAGATATTATCTCTGACTCGTCTTTCATGTGATTAAAATGGGATCCAAGTCTCCTATTAATTCTGACAGCAGCTGGTCTGATTCAAGATGGCTGCCCTCTAGGCGCGTCGGCCTCACTGCGGACAGGGTCCACGTCTATGGTTTTTTTCTGTCAGGATATTTTAGCACCATGGAGAAGCAGTCTTTAATTTCTTTGCTCTGGTAATTTGGAACAAATTCCCTGGAAACATAAAATATCCGCTTCCTCAGAGTGACCTAGTATTTAAACATTGGGGTGTGTGACGTCCTATGATAAAGGTTTGGTTCAAACGCTACAAGTGCCAACACTCTCTGTGCCCCGATTAAAAGTACAACCTGTGTTTTTTACATTGACCCCCTGAATTTAACGTAATAAAACAAGGTCCAACCCCCCAAAATAAGTTTGGGGCAATTGGAACCGTTCCAAAGATAATCCGGTTTTGTAATCCAAGTAACGTCTTCCTATGGGCAACGAGTTGAAGGCACAAACTAAACTGTTAATTTATTTTTTATGGTACGCCAGCATTCATAACATGTAGGCAAATCACTGTCCCCCAGACATCCGCAGTTATTTTTTAAAAAAAAACAAAGCGGAGTGTGTATGATGTCATCCACGCGCCGGACTGAAGTTGTGACATGCAGTCCGGGCCACGTAAGTAAAACTAGCTACAGTTCAGTGGACAGGATGACATCATACACACTTTGTTTTTTAAAAATATAACCGCGGATGTCTGGGAGACAAGATTCACCTACATCAGGGGTGTCAAACTGGTTCCAGAACTGGCTGTGTGGCTGCAGGTATTCTTTCCAACCAAGCAATCGCACACCAGAGTCCAGTCATTTCATCAAGTCATCATGTTCAGATTGGACTCAGAACGGCCTGTTCTGGAACCAGTTTGACACCCCTGACCTACCATAAAGAATAAATTATGAACAGTTTAGTTTGTGCCTTCAAGTCGTTGCCCATAGGAAGACGTTACTTGGATATAACCTAACAGAATATCTTAAGAACAGCTCCAAATGACACAAAACTAGTATGGGTAGAACATGATGTAATAACGTAAAATCAAGGCCCCAATGTAAAAAAAAAATAAAGTTAAAACTCTGCTTACAGTGTCAATAAAATAAGATTTTTGTGACTACTTTCAGGCTTAGGTGTGTTTTTTTTTTTTTTACATATAAAAGTCCATCACGAAAACAGAAAAGGAGGCAGGGATAATCACCTGGTTTAATGTGCATTTCATCTGTTAGACTTGGAGCTCCAAAAAATTGCTTTACATTTTTTATATTGTTTATATCAGTATAATGGCCTAAGAAAGCCCCAAACAGATACCTGTAAGCCTATAAAACTCCTTTATTATAACATTTCAGAAATAGTTTAGTTTGATATATATAAATAAATAATGCTCCAAGCTGAACACATTAAATGCTCATTCCACCAGGTAATTAGTCCATGTTTTTCAGTCTAAATCATTCTCAGATGTCCAAGAAGAAAGACACACCTAAGCCTAAAGGATTGTTTACAGATCAATATAGTAAATTAACTCAAAGTCAGCAATTAAAGTTTCTAAAACATCCTAATTTAGATTGACACTGTAGGAAGTGTTTTAACTTGTTTTCTGCACTTATGCTAACTGGGCACAGCCAACGCTGACAACTGGTAATGCTTCCCAGGACAAACCATGACCTTTAACACAGCAAATATCTAGTCACTGAAAAAGAAAAAAAAAAGCCATTTCAAACTGGAAAAAATCTTTTTTAAATGTGTAATTAGGAAAGATAATCTCTATTTAGAAATAGGCTTTGAACATACATTTTCAAATTCTAGTATTTAATACTTAATGAAGAATTCAATTTAAAATGGCTTGTTTTTCATAAAAATCAGCTCATTTAAAGGCTGCCCTCAGATAATTAATTTATAGATAAAACTTACCTCATTGGAGCTGCTGAAAGCAGGTCTAGGTCACTCGGTAACGCTGTAACAGAAATGAGTTTAAAGGTTATAAAGTTCACAATATAATTTATTTTTGTCGTGCCCTATGAAGGTATGTTTGTTTGTTTCTTTATCATTCAATCAAAAAATACATTTGAACACTGCTTTTCTTTGATAGAAGTCCAGTCTTTTTTGTTTAAAGTAACTTTTTATTGGACCATATAATGGATAGGACATTTGTGTCTTCATTATTCAATCAAAATAAAATATTTCAGACTCCAAAAATTTCATTTGAACACTTCTTTTTTTTTTTTTTATTGAAATGTTCTCTTTGGTTGAAGTAATCCATTTTACTTCAACCAAAGAGAACATTATCAATAATAAATAAATAAAAAGTGTTCAAATGCAATTTTTGGAGTCTGAAATATTTTATTTGCATTGTTAAACTATTTTCTAAGATTGAAAATGTTTATCTTTTTAGTGATTCTGTTTGATTGAATAATAAAGACACAAATGTCCTACCCATTATATTGTCAAATAAAACATTGTCAATCAAAGAAAAGCAGCGTTCAAATGTATTTCTTTTTTTTTGATTGAATGATAAAGAAACAAATCGCCCCGCATAAATCCAAATAGTCTTTGAGGTTTTACATACAAGCTAGAAACCCAAGCAGATTTAGTTTAGTGAATCTAAAATTGTTTCTTGTTCTCTGTTCACAGCTTTGGAAGATCAAATCATGACGCTCCAGAGCTCTGACCTTCAACGTTTCCACTTTGTGCAATTCACATTATTTATTTACCCACTCAGTGTTTTACTTAGGGTTTGTTTTAATTCTAGGTTGTTCAGTTGTGTTCTGTAAACACACAGCAAAACATGTTAGTATTATGAGCCTAAGTTATGTTCTCAGCTGCACATGACTTTTTGCTACTCTGCAAATTCAAAGGCAGAAAGATAATCTGTTTTATTAGCTTAATTTATTTTTTTAAGCTACATTTTTATTTTATGCATCTAATGCTGAAGATCACATACTTGCAGCAAACAGAAGATGTCTCATCACATAAATAAATATATGGTCCTCACTGTTATCTATGCTGTAAACCAGCTTTATGCGTATAAACTGAAAACATTTCATGTTCCTACCTGAGGATGCATTCATTCTGCAGGTAGAGTCCTCTGGAAATAAACCATGAGCTGTTCTCTTCCAGTAGAAGCCACTGGCCCTGCAACAAGCAATCAGTGGTATTTACAGCAATACATGTGTAGGTAGAGAACCTCTGCTGACTGAGCTGGTAAAACTAAGACGAATAAAAAAAGAAGCTATATAATATAAGCAGAAAAATCTTGGTTTTAGTGTTTTGTATTATTTGTAGATAAACTTCAGTTTCCTTCTGAGAACATTAAGATTTTTGAACTGGAAGACGGAAAAGTACGAGTTACTTTTTACGAGATCAATATTTACATTTGAAGACCGTTTTTTTTAAGTGATGATTTAAAAGGCATTTCCATATATAAACGTTCTATGTGTGTTAGAGGAAACATTCAGAGCTCCTCCCTGCAGTAGACCAGAGACAGCATGTTAAGACCGTCTGTATGTAAACGAAAATATGCACTTTAAGAACAGATTTGATGTGGAAGAAAGTTACAGATGTTTTTGTGGTCACATTTCTATATTGACAAATCATTTTCTGAAGGAAATCCTACGTGGTACGTGAAGTTGTGCTGACATACAAGATGCCTCAAGTTTCTAACGTCATCATGAAAGCGTTTGAGGAGGAAGACCAAAGTGCTTGCGTTTTATTGTTTTTTTGTCATCTCTGCTGGGGAAAAGAATGTATTTTTAGCATTGTGCTTTAAAATGTATTTAATTCCCTTCAGAAATACTTTTAGTATTGTGGGTGAGCTGTTTATTCTTTGCGTTCACCTGAAAGCAGAGGCATGATTCAGTTTTTAAAACATGTTTGATTTATATGAAAATGTGACGCTGTTTGTCAGAGTTTGAATATTTAGATTTAGTCTCTGTGTGTCTGAGGTCTCTTTTTAAAAAAATAAAATAAAATGACAATACTGCCTCAGCTTTTTTTCTGTTCTATCCTAAACATCAGCAGTGGTCAAAAGCAGCACATGATTAGAATATTTAATTTAGAATTGGAAAGAAAATTTCTCTGATATTCAGATGTTTTCGGTGTCATTAAAGATAATTAAAATCTATATTAACCAAATATCTTAACAAGAAAATTTTTGATACACGAGAAAAAAAACATTGTTTTCATTATATTTGTACTTAGAAAAAAACAAAAATTTTACTTGTCAGTACTTATCTAGTTTTTCTGCATAACTATATCAACTTGTCTAAAAATAGCATGCAATTAAAAAGCCATCTAGGTACAATCACACATTAAGACTCCACTACTGATGAAAAAACATGGTGGGTACATAAAGGTGTACACACTATATAAATGAAGAAACAATGCACATAAGAATGTGAAACTAAAACCCAAACAAACTGTCACATCATAGAACCTGCTGTGAACATTTCTGATGCTACTTCTGCCATCTTATCAGAATCAGAATGCATTTTGCTTAGAACAATTTAAGCAAAGAAAAAAAAACTCACCTTTCAGTTATACGAGCATGAAGACAGTTTGATGTGTTCAAGAAGTCTGTCACCATCTGAGGACAAAGATAGAAAATGTATTAATTAAATTTGACAGACATTTTTTATACCACATGCATGTAGCAGCATTTCACCAAGTTAAACAGTAATCATTAAAGCAGATGATCAAATCAGTTTTATGGCCACAGACGGAGTGAGGGCAGAGGTTGCCAACTATGCAGACCTTCAAATCCTCTAAAGAAAAGTTTACACAGAGTTTCCTGTATGGGTTTCTATGACCAACCTTCTGCAACCAAGTCATACATCACCAGTGAGTGCAAAGCTTCAATGCAGAGCAGGAAAACGGTAACATCTATCATGATAGAAACCGGATCAATGTTTTTAAAAATTAAACAGGGTTACAATTCAGACTTAGCATATTTCTCTGGTCCTTGTTTCAACTGGGTAAACAAATAAAATAATCATATCGACTGATATGAAGGCCATTATTTTTCAGCCATATTCAGGGTTCCTACAACATAAGGCAAGTTAAATTCAAGACTTTTTTTTTTTTGGTCCCTTGAAAACTTCACGATTTATCTGTTAATGATTACTTGAGCGAGTAATGGAGCATCTCTCAGAAAACTGGTCTTCATAATCACTTCTTAAAAATATCTGTACCGAGGTCTGAGCTGGTACGCGTTGGAGCTCCGCTCCCGTTTTTCACTTCATTAATAAAGTATGCAGCTATAACCCTGGGATTACTACTTGTGGAGTAAGCATGGAGTCATATGACCATACGCGAAAATACGTCAACAGCTCCATTAGTCAGGTTTTAGTTTTTCATATGAATCAACATGCCACATAAAGTTGGGACCTTTTGAATGATTCTAAAGCCTCAGCTGCTCTCCTTGAGGATGTAGGATTTTGAGAAGGTACCGGCGAACAGTTCTATGGGAAACCACCAAGCCAGCTGGATGCATTTCAGGTGCATTCATTTATAAACATAAAGCATCCTGTGCTGGTTTACTTGCTCCTGCAGTGCGACTCCCAGCAAGTCAGAGTAGAGTGGGTTTTTTGGCTTAAACTATTCTACGGACATACTACGCAATGCTGACAAACCAAAACTAATTCCATCCACACTGAGAAACTCAGTATTTCCCCGTGTCGCATACATAAAAGGAAATAAAAGCATATTAAATCCAACAACGCACTCATTGTTCACGTTTCATGTAGCGTAGCTTATCACTGAATGTCCTTCCTGATCTCCTAAATATAACATTATCTTAGAATTATGAGATCTTATTTCGCAATTATGAGATTAGATCTCATAATATTGAGATCAGGATCTGATAATTATGAGATTTTATCTCGTAATGAGATAATCTGTCAGATTTCTTTTTTCTTTGGTGAATGCAATATGCTTCCGTAGTATTCAATACTAACTGCATAAGCAAAAGAAATTCTTAAACATAAACATTTTTATAACATAACAAAAAAGGAACGTATTAGGTTATTGAAAAACAAAAATGGATAAAACACTTATGATCCAATTACTTGATAGATCTAAACTACCGTTAAAAGACATCCTGTCAGAATATCTGCTACTTCATTTCACTGTAGCGGACACCAGCTCTTCTATTTCCACTTTCTTTCCACCACCAAGCTAAGTCTGCTACTTATTTCCAGTTGAATAAGCGAAGCGTTTATGATGAGACGAAATGGCCCGATGTTACAACCAGCAAACTATTGTTGCACTTTATGGAGTCCATGGTGATTGACAGAAACACCAAAGCAACCAGGAAAGCTTGGAAGATCATCAATGCTTACACAGCAAAAAGGTCGGCTATGTGTTGATACACAAACATGGCAGTTTGGCGAATATGAAGGCAGATGTTCAACATGCCATAAATGTGCAGGTGCTTTGTTACATGACTCAGACATCAGCCATCAAGGTTGATTAAGCCCATCACAAGCATGGGTTAGCTTCAAACTAAGTGTCTAGGAGGTGGACCTTGTTAAAGATAAGCTCTGTGTATGCACCCTAATCCACTTTCTCTCCGTTTTTTTTTTCTCTGAAAAGAGATCACTCGGGACAAACTCTTAATACTTCATAACTTATATGTATTAAAAACCAGGAGACATGACAACAGATTCTGATAGAAATTGTAATCTTTCTCAGATCAAAGAAATTGCTAAGAGTTTACAGATTGGCAGCTGCTCACCTCCGAGCTCGACTCTCAACAAGTGGCCCCAATTAACAGTTAAAAAGGCATTTTATACATCTCCAGTCTGCCACATCATCACATTACATCATACACATTAGCAGATGAGTAGATATTACAGCTCCAGCCTTATCAAAATATTACACTTCATTCTTAGCTGAGGGACACCGCTCTCATTCCATTTCAAAAACTTTGCCACATAAAGAATGAAGATTATAACTGTATATCCAGACAGAACAACTGTCCTAATTAGATTAACTATTGTGGAAAATATCAGTTCTTACATGCAACAGGCAGTCCATACCAAGGTGTAATAAACTCACACATCATCAGTGATAATTATCCTAACAACCTGGTTCATTTCTCTCACTCTCTAATAACCTGCAGGACATGGGCTCTGTGCTGTTAGTGTATTTTAACAATTAGATTTCAATTCTAAAGATGAGCATTTAAAAATGAAGACAAGCGGCTGCATACAGCTTCAAGTGATAACAGACTGGCTAATGGGAGATGTTTTGTATCCAATTAATTTTTAAGACTGATTCACAAAATACTCACAAATATCAGGCTATGTTTGCACTGCAGGTTTTAATGCTCAATTCCAATTTTTTTTGTGAAATCTGAAATTTTTTGCATTGCAGTTCACATTTGCAAATATATGCGACTTATATGTGATCTGTGTGAACTACATTCATACAACGCAAGTGTCTTGCATGCACAGTAAAGGACGCAATGACATCACAAGCAAGCGTGCTCTGCGCTTAAGGAAGTAAACAGATGGTTTTGCTAATCTAGTTATCTTTCCCAACCTTAAAACCGTAATCTTTTCAAGATGGTTAAATAAAAATACTTCTCTCCACATTATCGACCACCGTGGTTGTTAATTTTCTTGCCGCTTCTACATAGCAAGACGCAGAACAATTACATTTGTCGGGTATTATAATGTCATTCAGGTTGGATGAATGCAACTTGGCCATCTAGACTCAGGTCACATTTGAAAAGATCTGATTCATATCTGATTCAGGACCACATAGTTAAGTAGCCTGGGTTGCATTGGGAAAAATCTGATCTGTGTCGTTCAGACTGCCATGAAAAGATCAGATTCAGGTCGCATATGGGCAAAAAAGAAAATCGGATTTGGGTCACTTCAGGCTGCAGTAGGAACAAAGCCTTAGTTTGTCATATTTACAAGC